GGGCAAGGCAGCGATACGCTGTAGGGTGCAGCGCTTGAAGAGAAAATAGAGCTTTAGAGAAACAGTTTGACGTATACCCTGTAAATGGCAAATAAACCTTTACTTATCTAATATTAAAACTAGCCCAAAGTTAAGCATGACTACTGAGGCCTTCGGCTTTTAGATAGACTTAAAACAGTTACTTTGTGTGTGCATCATAAAAGTTTGATTCCGTAATATACATACATCTATTTTATACAAGCTTCATTCTATAGAAATATTTTTATATATGTATTTTAATTTCTTTGAAAATCTTTGTATTGTTTGCGGAAGATTGAAAAGAGTCTGGCAAACATTTTATTTTAGATTAAACAAAAAGTTCTGTATAGTAAGAGACATGCGTGGACATAAAGACTTTATGACTCGACATATGTTTATCTATTTTTCAATAGCTTATGTTATGCTAAGAGCTGCTATCATAAAAGTATATTTATAGCTATTTCGATTAATTTCAAAATTAACAATGAATCACTTTGAGAGCACAAAAGATCTAACTGCAGAAGAAGTTGATTTGAAGAGCTTAAGCCATAAAACCATGTCAACACACTGAAAATTAATATATCTGCCTCATATACCCCTCACACACTCTTTGATTGCTGGGTATAAAAGAAATTGCAATCCAAAGCAAGCAGCGAGCAAACTGCAACGAAAGCGCGCAGAGAAAGTTTCGCGTTGGCCAAGGCGGCATTTAAAAATTGTATTTATGAACGGGCTTCCAGGCAAGAAAGCAAAAGTGAAGCCGAAGATGAAGCGGGAATTGGAGCTGCGGCAGTCGCCACATGAATTAGCGCAAATGAATTAATGAAAGTTTTGCTCAATTTTTGCTTTTATTGAATTATATTTCTGCAACCTGAACACTTTAAATGTGTGCGTGTGTGTGTGTGTGGCGGAAATGATTCACAATTAGTCACATTTGTTTTGCTCTGCATCTAAAGCCACATATAAAAACAATTTTAGCTCATAAAGAGCTGGGTTAGCTTTCAGGGCCAAGGCGTGGAAGTCAGGCATTAAATGAACGCTATTCACTCCATAGGCTAAAGTCTAGCATAGACAGGCTTATATAAAAATAGATATATAGTTTAGCAATCCATGCAAAGCTAATCAAATGGAATTTTAGACATTTGCAAACAATGCTGGGAGTGAATTAGTATAGATTATTGCCATTGTGCTAAGCGAAAATTGTTAAAACTTAATTAATTCTACTGTAGAACAATGAATTTTCCGCTACAGGGAAAGCTTGAAATGTATAAAAGTTCTATAATGTATATTTGTATAAGAGAGAAATGTATTATATACCATTTTAGTTTTTTAATTGAACTAATTTCAATGTGCGAAAGCTGAAATTGTCAGATGAAAATATTATATTATATATATATATTTTAAATATATTTTTTCAATATTTATTTCAACTTGTCAAATCGTTTGCTTGTATTAGGCTGTGACTAAATACTCGACTGTCAAAGCTTAATTTCAGAGTTCTTGAGCTTAATTATTTATAAAATATTTAAAAAAATTTTCCATTGCCTTGTCTCTTTATCTTCGAAGTCTAAGATATCTAACATATGAAATTTATTTATGGATTTATATTTGTGCTTGGTTCAGTTGACTTTTGATGCTTATGTAAAGTTGCCAAATTGTGGGCCAAATGCGAGCCACTCTTCAATTTGTTTTGCCATGTGCAACGTTGCGTATGATTGATATGTGTGTCATATGAATTTATACATATACATACATATAGATAAACATATGTATGCATTATACTTCTTGCATGCCATTTCATAATATTTAATATGACACCATTAAATAGCGACAAAATTTTAGGCAAACACAGCAATTGTCTCTGCTAATGCACAAGTGTGTGTGTGTATGTGTGTGTGTGTTGTTATTGTGTTTGCAATTTTAGCAGTCAGTTTGTCAGTTCGTCAGGTTGTCAATTAGCCAACTGGTAGAACAAACGGCAGCCCACTCGTGTTTGTAATTTATTTCTAATTAAGAGCTCTAAAGAAAAGACATGCGATTCATTCAAGCGACAAGCAATTGTACCTATATATATATATAAGTTTATATATTATTTATATGATATCTATATATATGTATATAGTCATATAATGAGCACTCAGTCTCGCATTCAATTGCTGGTTTCGCGTAATTCGCAATTAAAACTTGACTTTTATTCTGCCATCAGGCAATGGCTTGAGGCAGCCAAAGGCCGATTCGTGGGAGCCTTGTGGCATTGTCCATGAGCAGATGTAGAACCCGGTCTTAACTGAATGCTCGCCCATTGTGCCAAATTGCCAGCAATTAAATTTCACATCAACAACCCAAAAAATTCGTTTTTTTTTGGCTGCCCGCAAGTCTAAGTAAATATTGGCATTAGTCATGGGATTTAATATACCGCTCTCTATATGTTGTTGTTGTTATTTGTTGTTGTTTTTTGGCATTATGTAAGCACTTGACTTGGCTAAGCTGCTTAGAATTTATCTGTGCTTATTTTTGGCCAAAAACGAATTCTGTTTGAGTTTTGGCTTTTGCGCTTTGTTGACCATTTTGCTGGTCGGTTCGCTTGCTCGTTTTGGTTCGCTGCTTCGTGCAGCCGCTGCCCAAAAACAAAATCGTGTCTTTTGGCCAAATTCAAATTAAAATTCCACAGCGCATGCCAAGCAGCAGAGGCAGAGACTGCGCAGCAGAGACAATGCTAGCAGCAGCAGCAGCAGCAGCAGCGACAGCGACAGCAACAGCAACAGCAACAGCAACAGCAACAGCAACAACAGCATAGCTAATGCCAAAGAAGTTGCGCGGCCAAGTGGATTGACGATTGTCTGACTGCACCACGACAAATACCGACAAATACACCACCGAGCAACAGCACCACTACCAGCAAAGCAATCACTACTAAGACAAATACATCAAATTGAGCACAGTCGACGACTTTTGATTACTCTCCATTAAGTACGAACACAGTCGACTCTAGTCTACATGAGTCTTACTCAAAGTCAACTTTATATACGCTCTTTAAGTACTCTATTTGTAACTCTGGGAAGAAGCTCTATCTCGACTAAGTCTCTTTGATTTTACAAATGATGGGTATATACATATGTCTACTCTATTTCTACATTCCCTATAGTCAATCTCTACTGCATTTATATTTATTGCTACCCTACTTGTCTCTACTTAATACATTAGAATTTTTTTATGGAAAATTTATTCTTTTTAAATTTTCTTATCTGTATATAATATTTAATATATGTTATGTATATAATTTAGAAAAACTCAACTAATTTACTTTCTGATTTTTGTTAGAGTTGGACTCTTTCTTCTCTCTCACTCTCACTCACACGATCTCACTCTTTATCTTTCTCTTTCTTTATCTGTCTCTTCTTCTTTATAACTGTCTCTCTCTTCCTCTCGCCCTATCTCTCTCTCCCACTCTCTTACCGTCTCGCTCCATCTAAATTTCTTTTTCTCTCGCTCTCTCTCTCTCTCTTCCTCTTTATTTATGTTGCCTAGTCTATTTTACTTACTTACTCTTCATTCTCTCCTTAAGTACTATGTCTTTACCCTCTTCATATCTCTGATTGCTGTACCTTACCGTACCGGACCCATTTTAGTTATCTTCCTCCCTTTTAATAAGTTTTTATTTCTTTATTTATCTGTCTCTGTGTTTTACTGACGTGATTTACTCGCCTAGATATCCCTGAACATCCCGACCTATCTGCAAGCTCTACCGATTCTCTTTAAGCATACTCTTTGAGGTAGGGTATTTTTCTTTAATTCATTAAATAGGCACAGCAGCAACGCCCGCGTCTCGCAACACAGAGCAAAAATGGCAGTTTTTTTTGTATTTGTTGCTTTTATTGTTGCTGTTGTTGTTGTTGTTGGTTCTGTTGAAGGCAGCGACGCGACGTGACGAGACGCCCAAATGGGCCGCACCATGCTCCAAAGCAATACTGTGAAATGGGCAGCCATGGTGGCGCACTCAATGGAGCAGCCAGCTCGAGGCTCGAGTCCCCCCATAAAACGTTAACCGAAAATACAAGACTTGGCCAAAAGGCGACGGGGACTGCGACGGCGCCGGCACCGCGGCTTAACTTTTGTCGCTGGTTCTAGTCGCTGCGCCGCGCTTGAGATGCCAGGCCTAACCTTGGCCTAAACTGCAAGCCAATGAACTAAATGCTTGTGAAAAACAGCAACAACAACGGCAACAGCAACAGCAACAACAATTTGTTTGTTAACATTGTTGGCTGCGCTGTGAGCTTGCGAGTCGTTTTGGCAGTTTTAATGGCAACGCGAAAATTAAACAATTGCGCAAACCTCCGCCTGATAATCGCCCCAATGATTCATGTACCAAGCAGCAGCAGCAGCAGCAGCAGCATCAGCAGCAGCAGCCGCCTCAGCATTTGTCCAAATGTGTGCAATGCATACAATGGACAGCTGTTTCGCCCGAGGGGCAATCCAACAATTTGTGGCTAGCTAATTACTCAAACACTGGCTCACCAGCTGCCCCACCGGGGGCCAAACATGTCAAGAGAAACGCATTGTGAACCAGTTGAAATTTAGTCGAAATTTTGTTAATGCCCAAGCTAGGCCAGTTAAAGTTTATAGATTTCCAATTGATCAACAAGCCGATGCTCTGCTAGAGACATGAATTAGGTTTACAGCCCAGGTTTGTTCTACGAGCCTCTAGTCCAGCTCTAGTTGGCCGGCTTCACTTATATAATCCGATTAGTTTTCGTTGTGTCTAGGGTATTTAGCAGCGCGCCGCTTAGCTCCATTGTTGTTGGCCAGTTGTCAAGTTGGCAATCGATTCGAAACGAGTCTTCTGTTGACTTGGCGCTGTTTATTTTTCCCAAACGCGATTTGCTTTTCCAATACGTGTCACGATTCTGGCATCAAGTATACGCCGCTCTTTAGCATACTCGCTGTGCCGCTTTGCTAACCACTCGACTCTTGTACATTTGCAGATGTGGTTGCCGAGAAGCCAACCACTTACCGGCCCACTGGCAGCAATCGCCCTTCGATTGCCACACAGAGCTCGGCGCAGGAGCGAGAACGCAAGCTGCTGAACGTCTTGGCTGCCCGTCGCACCGCCCTGAATCGGGGCAATTTTCGCAATCGCATCGGGACGACCGGACGCAGTGCCACCTCGCCATCGGCTGCCGTGGAGAGCACCTCGAAGGCGCCCAGCGATCCGCGCTCCGTCTGCATACGCAACTGCACCAAGAACTTCACCCGCCGCACCACCGCCAGCTGCATGCGGCAATGCGCCAACTTCACGCGCATGGCCATGGCCGGCAGCGGCAACGGCAACGGCAACGGCAACGGCAACGGCAACAACGGCTCGGTGGTGCTGCGTGCGCCCAACAAGGCGGCGCTGGCTGCTGGCGAAAGGGACACCAATGAGATCCTCTTCAGCGATGAGTCGTCGCATGGCCTCTTTGTGGTGGCCAAGGAGCAGAACGATACGCTCAACCACATAGCGGACGGTGCGGTGAAGCAGCGTGGGCGTGGCAAACCGGTGCCCACGCTGGAGCAGCCGCAGCTGGAGGAGGACGATGAGGATGAGGAGGATGGAGAGCTGCAGCCGTATCTTTACTTTGGCTCCAAGCTGCCGCCCATCAAGCCGGGCGCTCTGACCATCACCCCAGCTGTGGGTGATGACGAGCATCCACGCGTGCTGGAGATCTCTGTGAGTCCGAGCAGCAGCAGCACCACCACCACGAGCACCACCACACCGGAACCAACCACAGAGTCCACAGTGAAACCCACCGTCTCTACGCGGCGCCCTCTCACAGCTGTGGAGCGTAGTCGCAGCCGCTATAAATATCACATGCGGGAGCGTGGTATTGCACCAACGGCTGCACCACCAGCCATTAGCAGAACACGCTATGTGGGCTCTGGGCGACCCACAGCTGGCCTGGCTGAGAGCTCAGTGGAGCAGAAGTCGGCTGAGGTGGAGCCCGTGGCGGTGCGTCGCGTGGTTGCCAAGCCACAGTCAGCCTCCACACCACTCATCATCACAGTGCTGAGCGCTGAGGAGGAGACAACGGTGGGGCAGGTGGTGCCTGAAGTGCAGCCAGAGGCAAGCACCACGAGCACAAGCAGCACTAGCACCACCAGCAGCACAACGAGTACGACGAGCACGACAAGCACCAGCACCAGCACCACTACCACCACAACCACAACCGAGCCACCGAGTACAACTAGAAGGCCAAGCACCACAACAACGACGAGCAGCACCACAACTACTAGCACCACAACGACAAGCACTGCACCTCCCACAACGAGAAGCACCACAACGAGCACCACGACAACCGCCAGCAGTCCAGTGACAACCACCACGGCTGCCACCACAACCACACTGTCGGCCAAGCACATGACCATCATCGAGGAGGACAAGGAGCGACTGCGCGCCCTGGGTCCCTCGCTCACGCAGGAGATCAACATCGAGGATCAGAATAATTTGATCATCTTCTGCAACAGCACCGCCAACTGCGAGGCGACGCCGCGCACCACTCAGTACGCACCCACCACCGACTCCAGCTCGAACTCGAAGATATTGCGCACCACAGTGCTGACATCTGTGCGCTCCACTGTCAATCCGCGCACCACCCCAAGTCCGGACAGTCCGGCGAAAGCGCAGGCTGGCAATGTTTTCATTGGAGTGGTGGAGTCCTCTTCCTCTTCTTCTTCCTCTTCCTCAGTGGCTGCCTCGGACATTAGCTCGACGGCCATTGCAGAGGAGCGCGATGTGAGCTTGGAGATGAGGCGCATGAATCTGGTCACACTGGTGCTGGTGGCGGTGGGCGTGGTGCCACTGGTGGCCATTGTCATGTACATGGTGCGCAACTATGTGGTGCGACGGCGCTCCAAGGTGGATGACGTCTTCGATGTGTGCATCACAGATCAGCAGCCCATAAGTCCGGTTAAGAAGGTGGACTCCAAATATCAGCTGGAGCTGGACGAAGATGAGGTCGATCATCAGCAGCATCAACAGCAACAGCAGCAACAGTTGCAGCAGCAGCAGCAGCAGCAGCAACAGTTGCAGCAACAGCGCGATGCGAATCACAATCGCTACGAGGACAAATCGTCCTTGGGCAGCGAGTACCAGGAGTTCGACCGCAGCAACATCCGCTTGAAGAGTCTGCTGGGCGAGGGCAACTTTGGCCAGGTGTGGAAGGCGGAGGCCGATGATCTGAGTGGACATTTCGGAGCCACACGAATCGTGGCCGTCAAGACGATACGCGCCTGCAGCGCCCAGGTGAGCCTCAAGGACGAGGCCAACATCATGCGCAAGCTGGGCTCCCACCAGAACGTGGTCACACTGCTGGGCGCCTGCGTGGAGAGCGGTAAGTGTTGGCATTGCAGATGATGTATTCAATCTGAAACTGAATCCTCTTTTATTCGTATTCCCCTCGCAGAGCCCCACATGCTGATCATGGAGTATGCGATGCGCGGACGTCTGCTCTCGCTGCTGCGTGCCGCGCGCAGTGCCACGAATATTCTGCCCGCCTCGGTGCCGGGAGGACGCAGCCTGGCGCCGCTCTCGCCGCGCACTCTGGCGGGCTTCGCTTTGGATATTGCCTGCGGCATGGAGTACATAGCCGGGCATAGGGTAAGCTTGGCTCCCAACTCTTCGAGAGAATCCATCACTGACCCCTGCCTCATCTCATTCCCAGATTGTCCATCGCGATCTGGCGGCGCGCAACGTCCTGCTCGATCACAATGGCATGTGCAAGATTTGTGATTTTGGCATGTCCATTGATCTGGACGCGGAGCGCATGCGCAAGGAGCAGGAGAAGAATGCGGCGAACGACATCCTGCGCAGCAATGCGCACAAATTCAAATTCGACTTTGGCAGTCGCTACATACTGCAGCACTGGCAGCAGACCTTTGGCCAGCATGGCCAGCACGGCGGCGGCTGCTCCAAGGACCAGACGTCGTCCGAGAAGAAGCATCATGGCCATGACACGATTGGCAAGCGGCATGCACTGCCCATACGCTGGATGGCGCCGGAGAGTTTACAGTTTCACATGTTCACCACCGAGACGGACATCTGGGCCTTTGGCATTGTCCTCTGGGAGATTGCCACACTGGGTAGGAAGCGATACTATTTAGCAAGAGTATATACTAATCTCCTTCTGCTGTTCCTTCAGGCTCGACGCCCTACTCTCATCTGACGGGCCGTGAGGTCATCCGCCGTGTGCCGCAGGGTCTGCGCCCGGAGCTGCCAAAGGAGAGCCGGCACGAGTTCTACAATCTGATGTCCCGCTGCTGGCACAAGGAGCCGCACATGCGGCCCTCGTTCGCACAGTCGCGCCTGGAAATCACCCGCTCGCTGCACAAGTGGGTGGAGGACGATTCCGCCGCCTCCGACTATATGGATGTGAGCGGCTTCAGTGAGGATCTCGAGCATGGCGTTGTCTACTTCAACCATCGCATCTCAGAGTTCGAGTGCGAGATATGACGTTGACTGAACCACCCCAACCACCAAACCTCCATCAGCATCCACCTGCACACCACGTCGCCATTGCCCACCAACTAATATATGTACATCAGGCTCATTCACACACACACACATACATGCCACACCTCTACGTAACTGTCCTCCATTTCGAAATCAGCGTGCTTGTCGAGCAGTATTATTTGTATTCTCTACTTTTCCCTCTTTATCGATTGAGATCTATCTCTCCCTCTCTCTCTTTCTTCCTCTCGATCGTTTGTATATATATTCTAAATATTTGATATGCACAGTTTATTTTATGATTTAGGATCTATGTTTAATTAAATGGCGCTACTTGTGCTTAGTTGATATTAGTCACTTAGTTCTTCTAGTCTATATCTAAACAACAAATTCATTTTCCCCCAAGTTGAGCCGCATTACGTAATCGTAGCCTTAGTCGAGTTAACTGCACCACACAATGTAGCACACCAGATCTTAGTTTGCAACAAATGATTCGTATGTAATGTAGGAGTTGATATTATTGTTATCGACATATATATATATATATACGAAAATATATATATGAATGTATGTATAGAAATATATAATTGTACAAATAAATTAATTAAACACAAAATATAATTAATATTTACACCAATTGAAGAGTCTTTTAATATGAAACATTGATTTTTTGTTTATTGACAGACTGAGTAGGTAATCTAATTGATTGATTGAATGACAGGTTGTTTTTCTATGCATTGATTTATGGTATGAATGATCTCTTGTCTTTCGAACTGACTGATTGACTAATTGATTGATGGCCTGAATGACTGTTGTCTTTCCAACTGATTGCTAAATTGACTGAATAGGGAGTTATATAAATATTGATTAACTGATGTCGTTCTTGTAAAATTGGTGGACCCACTGGCTTAATGATCAGTTGTGTGTTAAATTGAATGATTGATTGAATGTAGGATCATATTCCATTGACTGACGAATGTAAAACCATATCTCACTCTTTATAGCTCATATATGTAGCTTTTAACTGAAAATATCAAAATAGATAAAATTTTTAAATTATGATTTTTAAATGCCAATCAAAACCCATGAGTCTTACGAGTAGAAAACTATATCGTGAATGTGGCTAAAATAAATATTAATATTTAAGTTCTTCGAATCTTAAGATATAATATCACCATTTAGATGGATATATTATTTTGAAACCGACGAACTCATATAAATATATGCATGTGTCATTAAATCTTCATTTAAATTATCATTAGGTCAGTTCCGATCTGTACAAAATCTTAAAAATACTTCAACATGTATTTAAAGTTTTTATTTAAGAGCTTTTGTTGCTATAAAAACTGAAAGCTGTGAAAGGTAAACTTTATCTCAGCTTTTTTTGGCAAGCTGGCAGCACAGCTTTCTAGCCAATAGAGCTGCCACCTATTTGGATTAAAGTGCATGAGCTAATTGCAGACAGCTGGCAACACGTTCCAGTTGGAACTGGTTCTTGTGAACTTGGTCCGTTAAGCAGCTGAACTAAAGTAAATAACTATGTAAAAACAAGTTTAAATATATATTTTTTTTATTTAAATAAGCTCAAGTCAATGTAGAAGAAGATTAAGTAAACATCTAAAAATTTAAGCCATCAATCGTTGATCAGTCACCTTGAAGCCTGATTAAACCGGAAGATGTTTCACGCATCAGAGCCAAGCTTATTCTCAGCTAGACTTTATGCATAATTAGCCAAACGCTATGCATTTAGGCAGCATATTAATGAGCTGTTCGATTCGAATTATAAAAGCTCAGCTGCATAAGCAGAGCACCTGGCCATTTTCCTCATTGCCACACAATTGAGGAACTGAGGAGGAGCAGCAGCAAATGAAGTCGCTGCTGGAACATCAATCAAGGGATAACAGCTATGACTGCTGGCAATTTGGTCGTTAAAAGTAGTAGCTAGACAACAACTATATTACAATGCTTGACGGTAATTCGCAAATTAGCCATGCTCTTTGCATTTTATGGCACAGCGGAAAAGTTTTCTTTTTTTTTTTCGTTTTTCATTTTAGAGGTATATGAAAAAAGTTTATCAAGTGTGTTTTTTGCTGCTGATTGATGACGCTGCAATAAAATAAAACGCCAGCGATGCGGTAATACGATTTAATGCTCATAAATACTACAATGTGCGTAAACTCGAAACGCATTGCGTGAAAAGAGAAATAAAATGCAGCCGCTGTGCTAAGAAAGTGTGAAGCAAATCCTCAAGTGGCAACAAAAGCATCTATTATTTATGATTTTCACGCTGCCCCCGCCACGATAGAGATAGAGCCATAACAATAAAGTGCAGAAAAGTGGCTCTAATAGTGTAATAGCCGCTGGCTGAGCCACTGCAGTTCAATTGGAGTTGAGCGAGAGGCGCTAACTGTGCAGTTAAAGTCACGGCCGAGGGCTGTTTGGCAACAACAACAAAAAAAAAAAAAAACAAAGTTTGTCTGGCCTGTCTGTCTTATTAAATTGATTTGCGCTGACCCCCCGTTGAAAAAAAAAAAAAAAAAAAAAAAAAAAAAAAAAAAAACTGTCGAGATTCGTGCAGCGTCAACAGCAGCTAGTTATTTAGTTATGCATATTTGTCAAGCTTCCGTTAGGGCTGTATGCTTCCTGACCCACTGGAGCTATTAAAAAAAAGAAAAAATAACAAAAATAGAAAAAATAGAAAAAAATCGAATGACTTAAGACACGAACTTTATAAATGAGGCGTAAATGTTAGAGCTTCCGCATTACGTGCGAGCTATTTAGCAAATTGAAATTGTGAATTTTAATGCCAAGCTAACGGTTCAGCGAACTGCAAAAGAAAAGCAATTAGACAATTGGCAATTTAATGTAAACACGTCGCAGCAGAACCAACGGCGCAGCCAGCCGAGGCAGCGACCGAGGCAGCGCTAGCAGCAGAGACAGCAGCAGCAGCTGCCGCTGCGGCAGCTCTGCAAACAGTCGCCGGCGAGTGTTGAAAGCGTTAAGACGTGTGTAAGCGGCAGCAGTGAACAGTTACTTAGAGACTTGAAGAGAAAAAAGCGTACACACACACTCACACACACAGACACAGTCTGTTTGCTCTACTACTCTCCTGCTCTCGATCTGGGCGGAGAAGCGCTGCGGCCGCAGCTTTAGGCGCGTGTGAAATCTGTGAAAATTTGCCTACAAGAAGTGAAGAAGTAAAGAAGGAAAAAAGTGAAAATTGGTGAAGAAGACGTTTTAGCTGCAATTCTCAGCAATTAAACGAGGCCGAAGGTGATTGTCTTAGCTTAAAAGTAAACACAAGTCGTACATAGAAATATATATCTTCTATATGTTTGCCAAGAAACAAACAGAAACAAAAGTGAAAAGTTGTAATAGAAGATTTTATTTTGTTGACTGCGGAAATAAACGAGCCGAACGAACTGATTTCTTGGCCAAAATGAATTAATCATAAAACAACAGCCACAAATCGAAAATGGAATCTTTTTATGTTTATTTCTTTAGCCAAATATGTGAAATGGAAACAACTTTCTAAAAGAAACAAAAACAACAACAACAATAACGAGGCACCTCAACAAAAATTTGAATTCTTTTTTTTTTTTCGTTTAATTTTGTTTTTTATATTCTTTACGCCCGAGGAAATTGTGTCAGCTGGTTAAGCTGTGCGTGAGCTGCGTGTTGTTGTTGCTGCTGTTTGCTTAATGGCGTCAAGTTCGTTGCCTAAGTCTTTCGTTTAGGGCCGGCAAATTGAATGTGTCAGCACGCGCCATCAATAATGTTCAGCTTTTGGCTCTTCGATAGCCAATGCGCCACACAACTTTGAACTCTCTGTCTAGCTCGTTATGCGAGTTCTGAGCTTACTAGGTTAGTCGGTTAGTTGTTGTTGTTGTGCTTGTTGTTGCTGTTGTTGTTGCAGCTTGGTTTCTGCTTATTGGATTCTCGACGCGCGACTTTCTTGCTGCTTGTGGCTGTTTCTCTTATTGCAGCGCTGCTTTATCGCTGCTTTTTTGCTGCTTGATGTGTTTTTCGACTGGCCCAGTTTGTGTCTGTTGCACGGCGCAACGCACGCGAATCGTAAGCTAATTAAGATAACCAAAGAATTAGCAGTGAAATTATTTTGCAGTAGCTGCAGCATCAGCATCTTTCATTCGAGCATCGCTGGCAATTTGTGTGTCTATGTACTTTTACTCAGCCGAGACCCGTGGGAAGCGCATTGCAGCTCGCCTTATTGGCTTAATTTGATTTATGGCATCATTGCAATACGCCAACATGACAACGCTTTCCCAGAGCCCAGCGCATGCCAGCACCGCATATGCAAAAGGCTGCACAAAAAAGCTAAAAACCAGAAGCGATTCCCTCTCTCTCTCTCTCTTTCACGCTTCAGGCCATTGAGCTTGGCCAATGGCATTCTGTGCGCAGGTGTGCAAAATAAATTGAAGATGTGGCTAAAACGGCAACGGCAACGTCCTCACGACCTGCGCAAAGCATAAAGCCAAAAACAAACGATGTGCACAAATCGCAGCTCGTTGGCAGCTGGGGGCGGCCATAGCTCACACTGAAGATGCTGCTGACGACTCTTTGTATATAATACACCTTTATGTATATATATGTGTGATTGTGTATTATTTACTGGCCTTGTGACTTGTTTTGGTTGAGTGTGCGGCGCCTGTTAAAATGTCGCTGGCTGCCTTTTCTAAACTGTCAACCAGTCGATAGATAAAGCCAAGCCAGCCCAAGCCAAGTTTTCACTTTTCAATGGCGCAAAGGTCAGCGCATCTGCAGCAGCATCAGCAACTGCGGGATGCTGCCGTTAACGATGCCCCAAGGAGCTGCTGGCAGTCAGCCAAGCAGCCATGCCTTCAGACTGGGTGTTGTTAGCATTCGAATTTGTCAGCTCCCATTGGCATTCACAGACGAGCACTTTCGAATGCAATTGTTGGCATTCCGTGGGCGCAAGCATTTCCATTGTGTGACAGCAAAAACAAAAAACAAAAAAAAAAAAACAAAATTATTTATAGAAATATATGTATGTAAATGAATGTGGGCAAGTTCAAGCTGAGGGCAGAAGCATGACTCGCTGCTCAATGGGGAGTTCATTTTGTGAAATGCAGCAGCTTTGGTCTGATTGATAATGATTGAGAAGCAGTTAAAGATACTAAATGAATTTGAGCTTAGCAAATTTATATACGAAGGAAATCTACAAAATACTTAACCTAATAAAATTTTGTTTTATATTATAATAAATTAATTTACTAAACTCTTTCTATTTTCTTTTTTTGAGTTGCTCAAATTCGAAAATGTTTGGAACCTTCCAGATTTGCATTGTGAAGCTTAGATTGATTTATGTATGTATTATACATACATATTTATATATATTTATATTTATTTATACATAATTAACTGTTTGATACACATTCCGATGACTATCGGAGATTGATTGAAAATTGCTTTTCTATATATATTTGTATTGTGATACTTGATATATATCATGTATATTATATAAATATATTACTCAATTAAATTATATATTTTGAGCATATTAAACAATATCTAAATGTATTTGAAAACTAGATATATAGCAATATTTTTTTTTATATGTATTTATTCAGAATGTTCATTAAAAGGAACTATCTAAAAAAAAAAAAAAAAAAAAAAACAAAAAAAAAACCAAAAACTCTGCAATTGTCGATCATTCAGGACTCAGTCTAGCGAAAGAATTTAAAATACAAAAATGTTAGTAAAATAATTGGTTAAATATTAATAAGAAGAGAACTAGTTTTCAAAATAGAGCTGCCCTTAGTCGAGTTACAATCATTCAAGAATATTTGAATCAGACTTCTGACTAATTTGAACTTTTACTGAAGGAAAGTGTCTATAGACTTCAGAAATCTCCAGTAATAATAGCAAATAGTACCCACTGACTTCATAAAAGTGTATCCCAGAGATTTATGTCAGCAAGCGTGCAAATTGAAAACTATTTTGGATGCATGCCAATCAGTGTGAGCTGAAAGAGCTACCACATGCGAGTTACACTCTGTTAAGCCCAGACTTCCGCATTAATGAGGCTTCAAGCTGTTGCTTTTTCCATTATATGCGATCAGAAGCAAAAGGAAAGCCCATTACTGTTATGCTCTTGGCATATTAAATTATTACATCTGCCGAGTGCCGCAATGCTGTTGTATAGTGTAATAGGTAGGTTATCTATCAACCACAAGGTCTTTGCCCATTTCACTGCATAGATCATAGCGCGCAGAGGTTGCCTGATTTATGGCTGCAAACCTGACAGCAGCCACACAACAGCAACAGCGACCACAACAGTAGCAACAACAACAACAACAACAACAACACTGACAACGACACTTATGAGTTGTTTGATGCTTCACGCCTTGTTGAGCAGGCAAAGAAGATGATGTGGATGTTGGCCACAATGTGGCGATGGCTATGACTGCTCTATGACTGTGATTTAGCGTTAGCTATGAATATGGCTTTGGCTATGTGGCTATATGGCTTTGGCTATGGCTAGGCCAATGGCGATTACCTAAAAGCAGCAGCGGTGGCTGCTGTAATAGCCGCTGTCATGACTTGATTATGCTTACCGCTGACACCGTGTGTGGTGGTGCGGTGGTGTGGTGGTGCGGTGGCTGCAAGTGCTGCTGTTTACGGCTTTATTACAATTGTTAATGGCTTTTACTTTCAGCTGGAAAGGCGTAGAAAATAAATTTAAATCCGTGGCAACGAAAGCAAAAGTTCGTTGCCTAAGTCTTTCGTTTAGAATGCGCCGTTGAAAGCGTGCAACGCATAATAACAAATTATTTTCGTTGTTTTCTGTTTTGTGTGGCTTTTATTTGAATTTTGTTTCTGTTTTTGTTGCTGTGTGTTTTGAGTGCTTTTATTTGTGGATTTTAATTTCGTCTTAATAACTGCAATCTGAACGCCCATTTTCTCATCAACTTTCGTTTGTTTTGTTGTTTCGCAGCGGAAAATGAAAGCGGGCCGCGCATTCGGCTGCCTCTTCTGGGCGTTGCTCTATTGTGTGCTATACCTGGATCTGGTCAACGCCAGCGAGGAGGAGCTGCTGGATTTCGATTTTGCCGATGCCAAGGAATTGGATGCCGCCGCAGCCAGCAACGATGACTGGCAGCTGGCCGACGAGCAGCTGGCGGCGCAACAGGCCGAAAAGAAGCTGGAGGACAACATGCTGGACTTTAGCGTGGACCTGGATGAACCGGAGCCGGAGAAACAGCTGCCGCAATTCGATTGGCGTGAACGAGTGCTGCGCACGGCATTGTCCAAGGCTCTGACGGATCGCGCGCTGCGCCAGAAGTTCGCTGAAGTGATGCCCATACTGCGTGTCCTATCCTCGCAGCAGCGTTTGGCGCTCTCGGCTCTGATCTCGGCTCAGATGAATGCCAAACAGGGTCACGAGCTGCGGCTTGAGCAGGTGAGCCACGCCCACACTTATCTATAATTACAGTGAAATCTCTGCCGAAGAGATTCTGCTGTAGCCACCTACAGCTGCCCTTTGTCTAATTCTTCCCTTTGGCTTGCAGGTTCGCATGATGTTTGGCGACGATAAGAAGCTGCTGCTGCCCATTGTCTACGATCTGGCGAATCTGGTGAAGAGCTCGGCGCGCAAGTATATACAGCTCAGCGACGACTTGGCAGCAATTGCGCTGCGACAGACGCCGCTGCAGAAGGCGCAAAGATCTGCTGACTGTGGAGGAGTCGGAGCAGGATGACAGCGTGGGCACCATTGATGTGAGCGGGCAGCCGGCGGCGGATCAGGAGCAGGCGGCCAGCTCACTGGAGGACTTTTTCGAGGAGATGCAATCGGTGGTGCTCGATCCGCAGATGATCAATGAGGCGCTCACTGCCCCACAGCCGCTGCCAGCGCCCAAGGCGAACGCCACTCGCGGCAGGCGGGTGCGCCGCGCAGCCAACGAATTTGTGCACAAGCTGACGCGCTCTGTGCCCGTCTCGGTGAGCGAGCAGCAGCTGCTGGGCGGTGCAGCGGGCCGGACTATCAAGCTGAACACCACCGCCTTTCAGCTGCCCAGCGGTGCAGGCACAACCACAGCAGCTGCAACTGCAGCCACTGCCGCAGCCACAGCCACAGCCTCCACATTGCCGCCCACGCCCACGCAGTCGTATGAGGAAATCGAAGATCTCGCCTTTGCCGGCCTCAACGGCACCCAGCTGCCGATCTCTGCGGACGAGCGGCTCTATGAGGTCAGCAATGGCAACAGCAGCAGCAGCAGCAGCAGCGCCGAGGAGCCGCTGCCCAGTCCCGAGGAGCTGATTGCGGGCCCACGCTATCGCAGCCACAAGCGACCGCCGGCCAGCCACAAGATGCCGCCCATCAAGCGGAAGCGCGTGCAGAACTCCCCCTACAGTCGCAGCCGGCCGAAGACGTCGGCCAGCGCCCACAGCCCCGTCGTGGTGGGGCACAAGAAGTGCGAGCGGTTCACCAACAACATGTGCATACGTACCGACGACTATCCGCTGTAAGATCCGCTTAGTTAGTTGGTTGGTTTGCTCTCGGTTCCCGCCCTAGTCTAGTTGTCGTAAGATGTTTAGCTTAAAAATAAAAAGTAATTTATTTCTGGTACACCTCCTCCAAATGCTTTTGCACACTTATATAGTATAGTGGTTTCGGTGGTCGGTTGTCGGTTGTCGGTGGTTCCCCTCATCCCTCTCCTCCTCTCATACTTAACCTCAGCCAAACACTCTCTTCTTCACACACAACACTCTTCACTTTCACCTCCACGCAGCGAACAGATCATGGGCAGCATCAGGCGGCACAAGAATGCGATGAGCGCTCTGCTGGCCGAGTTCTACGATAAGCCCAACAACAATCTCGAGTTCGGTGACGAGTTCGACGATTATATTGTCAATAAAAAGCGGTGAGTGGAGCAGAAGATCGACAGATCGACAGATCGAATGATCTTTAGAAATCGTTTGTCTTAAAAATAACTTTTGATTGCCTTTCTCTTGCATGTGAAACCACCTAGGCGTGAGGACGAGGGCACCGCCGGCAGCATGTGCCAGAGCATCGTCCGCTACGCCCGGCCCCAGAAGGCCAAGGCAGCGTCGGGCGAGTGGAAGTTCATCGTCAACACGGGACAGCACACGCAGACGCTGCGCCTGGAGAAGTGCAGGTGAGCCACATCTCTAGTGGAGTGGAGCTCTGTCGCAATTAAAAGCCTCATTTGCTATTCATATAAGAGTCGTGGAACTCAATAATTATCACCATCGAAGTCACAGTTACATCAACAAGTTTCTATTTTTGGTCCAGTTAATGGGGAGGCTATTAAGCAGCGTCATCTTCATTCGCAATTAAACTTGAGTTGGTCTCGTTTCACAAATAACAGCTAAGATAATTGCTCAAAATAATAATAATGTACAGTCAAATTTAGAAAAATGTGCGTTGAGCAACTGGCGAAATTCTCACGATTTTTATACACTTAAAGGTTGCTTAAGATGAGGAAGACAATGATAGGGTATACATATATGTATATATGGAAAGAGATTCAGATAGACAAGGAGTGAAAGCTTTATTTATGGAAAATGAGAGAGAGAGAGAGAGAGAGTAATAAGTGAAAGAGACTAGAACAATCACTGAAAGAGAAAGAGCAAACGAGAGAGAAGGACAGAGAGAGAGATAGTGAGGGTAAGAGAGAAACAGCAAACGGAAGGGAGGGAGAGATAGAGAGATAGCGAGAGAGAGAGATAGAGAGGAAGGAAAAGTAAGAGAGACAGATAGACTTAGAGAAAACACATAGTTAATTATTGAATACTGCTGAGAAAGAGACGAAAAACAGAAGACTTTATAGAAGCACAGAGTAAGAGACAAAACCGCACAGAGAGGAAGATCGAAAGACAAAGAGATTTATCTCGTAAGTGTAATAAAAGTAGAGAAAATAGAGAATAGAGATCTATAGGGAGAGTGAAGACCATGACAAAATATGCTAGAAAGACGGATAGAGAGAAAAATACAGAGAATAGGAGCGATATAAGAGTAAATAGACATACAGACTATATATAGATTATTCAAGAGAAGTGAATTATTTCATTAACTAAACAGTCCAAGAGAGATCGTATACAGAGAAAATGAGAGTGAAATACAGATAGCAAATGTGGCATAAACCATATAATTAGGATAGAGATATGATATTGTAAGCAGCAGCCAAAGAAACGAGATGAACGTCTACAGAAAGATGAACGTCTCAAATACCAGCTAAAGATAAGTTAATGCAGACGGTATGCCAATCTGCTGTCAACTGTGAGCAAGAAAGCAAGACTCTATTTATCGCTGATTATTCATAAGTTAGCCTCTTTGCAGTGGCAATAGCTCAGGCTCTGGCTCAAGCCTGCATCATTCACAGTTGAGCCGCAAATAAGTGTTCTAATTAATTGGCTTTCTCTGCTTGGCAGCAATCCTGGCGAAAGCTGCTCGTATCTGGCGCAGACGTATCGCTCGCACTGCTCGCAGGTGTACAACTACCATCGGCTGCTGAGCTGGGACAAGGTGCGCGGGCTGCATGTGGACATCTTCAAGGTGCCCACCTGCTGCTCGTGCCAGGTGGACGGCTATCGGCAGCAGTTTCCGCCGCTGTCCTCCATCCAGGCCAAGGAGTACTCGCCCGGCGGCTACAAGCTGGACAATGGCAACAGCAACGGCTACAGCACCATCAACGAGGAGGACCTGGACTACAACGATGAGAGCGACGAGGACGACTTGGGTCTGAGCTATGCGCCGAACAATGAGCTCAGCTATCTGGGCAGCAAGAAGGTGCGCGCCAAGCTGCCAGCGCCATCTAGCGTTGGCCCCTATCTGAGTCCGCCGGACGACGAGGATCCCTTTGCCACTGGCGGCTACAAGGGCCACAAGAGCAGCAGTTCCATTGGCAGCTCGAGCTCGAAAAAGTATTATAGCCAGCTGAGCCGCCGGCGGCCGCAGCATACGGAGGCGCGCGTCGACATCGACATGGATCTATCGCCCAGCGAGACGCAGGCCGATCAAGAGGTAAACGTATTGGCTGGGGAGCAGCCGCACGTGCCCATCAAGCGCAAGCGTATTTATACAACCACTACTACCACCCACGCAGCCACAACTGGGGGACATCAAGGAGCATCAACTCGAGTACGGATACCCGTACACCTATCCAGCAAACCATCGAGCACAGCCGCCACCAGCAGTCTACCAGCCCGAACTGGAACCGCAGCTGCGGCCGGAATCGGAGTCGGAGCCGGAGCCGGTGTCGGTGTCGGTACTGCCACCCATGCCCACCAAGCGACTGCTGCATCCGGCTCAATTGCATCATCTAACCCTGCCCTCGGCCAGGGCCAGAGCCAGGGACAGGGATCGGGACAGCGCTTCCAAAAGTCGCGACCACGTTTCTATGCACCACAGCCTACGACGACCTCTGTCGCAGTTGCTCCCAGCAACGCGATCCCAGTCAGCCCAGAGGCGTCACTACCAACCACCTACGTTCAGCAGAGGAAGCATCAGCAGCAGCAGCAGCAATCGACGGCATTTCCACAGCCGCCGCTTGTGAACTCCATATTCGACAACAACAGCAGCAGCAACAACAACAACAACAACAATAACAATGGCACTCGCCGCATCAATTATAGCTATCATCCCATCATCGACTTCTTCGAGAAGAACAGGCGCACAGATGGGGCAGCTGTGGGCTCGCTCGATGATCAGGAGCCCGACTACGCTGTGGAGGAGTCGCGGCTGGTGGAGCAACGTTATCCATCTAGAGTAAAGGCAATTGCGGCCACGCTGCCGACTGCTGTTAATCTGGGCGTGGGCATGGGCGTGGCCTATCAACATGTGGTGCCCACATCGCACGAGCGTAGAATGGGCTTTGGTGCCGGTGGTGCGGTTGGCGGTGCTGTTGGTGGTGCTGGACGCTATGGCTATGCCAACGACAATGCCTGGCAGCCGCTGGTTGTGGATCATTAAACTTAAGACGCATGCAACTCCCCTAGCTTAAACCTCTATACTCCCATGGCTAACATAGATAGCTTGTTGTATTAATCGCATCGAATCGAGACTCATCTGGCTTAGCTTGTAGTTGTGCCTCCTATACTTGCCTAGTTACTGCAACTGAATGACGTAATTGCCTAATCTTACCTAACTCTATGTCTAACAGCATCCATCCAATTATTTAATTAATTATTCAATAATTATTTATTTATTTATTTCGTAGCAAGTAGCGATGTTTTCGAAAACAAACAGCTGAGTTTTAGCAATAAAATAATTTATTAAAATAAAAACAAAAATCAAATTCAATTATTAAACTATTAATTTATTTTTACAAATATTTTACAGACGCTGCATAGTATTATTTTCAGCAAGAGCAATCTTTTAATAACAAATGCTTTATTTAGCTTTATATTAATTTAATTATTAATACTTAAATAAAATATTTTAAAGATTTTTCAAAGTTGGTATTCAACAACAACAAAATCATTCAAGCTGCAAACGCTCCACTTTGTTTCATTTCCAACGTTTCATTTGACGCTCACAGCATAGCAGTCAGCTTTTGAGAGTTATCAATGAAGCGCGCTATTTAAATGGCAAGCGAAATGAGAGCTTTAAATGCAAATGTTTTCATTGAAAACAAAGGTAAATAACTAAATTAACAATATGTAAATTAATTAAGCTTACTTTCACTCTAGCAACACCATTCTAAATATGCAAATGTATATTTCTTTATTTGTATATATGTATGTGTAAAGCTTTATGAAGTTCAAGTTTAGGCTCAGTGGACAGTTTTTTGCCTACTAATGAGTGTTTAGACGTGAAAGAAAAAACACACTTGAAAATTTGATTTCAAACTAGTTTTGCACTGAAATGTGCCAAACTCGAGAGGTGTTTGCATATGCAAAGTGGGTTTCTAAATCAAGACGTGGCCACAAATAAACTCTAGAAGATGTGGTGGAGATAGTTGTTGTTGGGGGAAGCAGGGGCAGCATGGCATGGGGCAACGTCTTTGACCGGTTATAACACTGACTGCCGCAGCACTTGTAGCGACTTGCAACGTCACTGCAGTTGCAGTTTGTTGCCGTTGCCCGTTGCCCGTTGCCAGTTTCGCTTTCATTGCAGTCGCACGATGTAAACGCTGCTGCAATGGCTCGTCATGGCTGTAGGAGAAATGAGCTGGCAGCGAAGAAAAGTGCCGAAACCCAATCAAACGTCGGGGCTATAAACTGGAAAATTGGAAAAACGCTGAGGAAATTTTATAAAGTCGCAATGATAGCGCCGATTCGAGGCAGTTGCGACGCAGCCGTCGACATCGTTGAAAGTGAAAATCGGCCTTGAAAGTGAGAGTAAAAATGCGAATCGAAATGCTCAGACAAAGGAGCTGCCTGCGCAGGTCAATCTCTGTGTTGCTGATTATGCTGCTGCAGCACAGCCTGGCCATTAGAATTGAGAACACGTCGAGTTCAGTGGCGCCAGCTGGCTATCGCGTCTCGCGGCCAGAGCCCAAGCAGCCCACACAGCGCGTGCCGCCGCACCTGCAGGACATACGACCTGGCTACGTGGACGACGATGCGGGCGACGTGATACGCATCATTGAGCCGCCCCAGCACTTCCAGCAGCTGAAGCGACTGAGGCAGAGGCAGCCGCCACAGGCAGCAGCGGTCATCGCGCCGCCACCAAAGCCCATTGTCTGGGAGCAGCCACGTAAGCTGAGCACCAATCGTGGCGCCCCGCCGCCGCGTCGAGTGAAATCGCCTGGGGGCGACTTGCTGACACAGGAGACGCAGCTGGCGCCGCTGTTCGCCAACAATCTGCAGCTGCCCATGGAGATACTCGCCTCGGTGCGCAAGACGGAGCGACTGCTGAAGAGGCAGCGCCAGGGACAGGGACAGGGGCAGGGGCAGCCACAGTTGAGACAGCGCCACATCCAGCGGCAGACGCACACGCTCATTGCCCAAAAGGCGCTCGAGCAGCAGCTCTACCAGCGCGGACAGCAGCAGCGACTGCGCGCTGCCCTCCTGCAGGAGCACAAACGCAGCAAGCGCGTCAAGCGGCAAACCAAGTCGAGCTCCGATGCCAAGTATGATGTGCCGCATGGCCTGAAGCTCGTGGCGCACATAGATGAGCTGCTCAAGAATGCGACACGCTTTGTGCCCGATGAAGTGAAGCCGAATGAGCTGTCAGCCAAGCCAGATGCAAAGCCAGAGCCAGAGCCAGAGCCACAGCCAAAGACGAAGCCGAAGCCGAAGCCGAAGCCTTCGCTCTGTGGAAATGCAACCAACTGCGAAAGTCGACGACGTCGCCAGCGACTGTTTAGAGCAAGTGCACAGAGAAAGACAGCTGGCAGGGGGCGCAACTTCCGTCATGAAGCAACCACAACAACAAAAGCAACAACAACAAAAGCAACAACAACAACAGCAGCAGCTGTGGCAGAGACAATTGGGAGCTTAACAACTTCCGCAACTCCATTGGCCAGCCGCTTGGTGAACTCACGTAAAGCAGCTAACAACCGCAATCAAAAGCAAGTGGAAGCGGCCCGCCCACCGCAGCCCTCGCCGGACTCTGTGCTCTATGCGGATGTCATGTCCACCATACGCAACCTGTGGCAGGAGCACGACCTGGCAGCTGCGCCACAGTTCGTGCCCGCCGCGCAGGTGCACAACAACAGCGACTATCGCGCCCTGGACGTCTATCTGAAGGAGCTGGATGACATCGCCAAGAAGCTGCCCACTGCAGCGCCCATCACAACGCTCAACCAGGAGGAGTTTGCACCGATCACGCCCACGCCCAACTGGTATTTGATCAACAACGAGGGCCGCATCTACGAGACGCGCCTCACTAGCGAATCGAAGCCAACGGCGACGCTCTTCCATCAGTTCCCCGATATGCCGAAGACACAGGACTCTATAACGACGCAAGATCTGGAATAGTTTAGCAGCTATAAAATATTATTTATTTGCCTTTAGCCTTAAGTTGGTTTAAGCATCGACTGTTGTTTGAATAAATTATAATTTTATGGAAACTTTTTGGCGACAGCAATAATATTGCCTATGCATAGACCTATGCCTAAAAAAGTTGAGTCAAGAGGATAGAGATTCAACCGGAGTTCAAGTTGATTTTAAGTTGATTCTAGTTTAATAGTTGAAGTAGTTCACATAAATTTCAATGAAAGTCTTGTTCTACGCGTGTTTCTGTTTTTGGCGAGCCTAATGAATTTATGTTTGTCTTTGTTTTTATTTATTTTTTTTTTTTTTTTTTTTTGATTCTGCGTCAGGGCAGTCAAGCATTTAATTTGCCTAATTACAACGGCTGTGACGCAGGTTCTTGGTTAACGCGGTAATTTAGATAAGCAAACGGGCAATTAGCTGGCTAACTGGGTAGCTGGTTAGACCTTAGCTGGTTCTCTTAACGTACCAGAGCCCATTGTGCTGAACCCTGACCCCGCACAACATACAAATTGCTGAGAAACTCAGCGCGAAGCATGAAACCTAACTGAAAAGCTGTCAACAATTAGCAGCTGGCTGAAAGAGAATGGAAGAGGAAAAGCATAAAGCATAAAGTTGAGGCATAAAGAACATGAGATATGCTGACCTGATTACCTGCTGAATCAAATTTAGCGCGAAGAAAAAAAAAAGTAAAACTGTATGCCCATTAACAAAAACTGTTGAGGTTTATCCATAAATAAAAGTAAAAGGAAAATTGGAATGGGAGACAGGAGATCTGAAGAGAGAAATTATGAGAGATGCAATGAAATAAATGATAAATGAGCTGAATTCGATGAGATAAAACAGATGAGAGACGAGCTGAACTAATTGAGATATGAAATGAAATAGATGAGGCATGGGGTAAATTGAAATGAGAAATGAGATGAAAATAAAGAGATGAAATAGATGAGAGATGAAATAAAGTATATGAAACAGGACATTCAGCTCCCAGATGAAAAATAAAATGAGACAAATGTGAAATGAGATGAAAGAGATGAGATATAGAAAAGAGATGAAATAGATGAGAGAGGCGCTGAAATAAATAATTGATGAAATTATATACTTACAGGAGCTGAATGAGATGAAAAATAAAATGAGACAAATGTGAAATGAGATGAAAGAGATGAGATAAAGAAAAGAGATGAAATAGATGAGAGAGGCGCTGAATTAAATAATTGATGAAATTATATATATACATACATACATATATGAAACAGGAGCTGAATTCGATAATGGACCATATGAGAAATGAACTGAAATAGATTGGAAATGAGATGAATTAGCTGAGCAGATGAGAAATGAGCTGAATCATTTTATAGGTGAAATGAAATATATGAAACGTAAGCTCAATTAGCTGAGAGCTGAGATGAAATGAGAGATGAATTGAAATCCATATAGGATGACAAATGAGATGAGCAACGTCTCAAGCTACACTTGCTCTCAGTTTTTCATGCTTGGCTGACCTGAAACAACTAATTTGAATATAAATTGAACTGCTCATTTATAAATAGCTAAATGCCTTAATTACCTATATAAAAATAGCTTAATTAGGCAAACGTATATATGCAAGACCTTAACTTCCGTTACTAAAATATATTTCCCAGCCGCTTCCACTCGATGCATGCCTATGTAAACATATTTGCTTCACTTTATAATCGAGTTTTTTCACAGACGTCAGCGACTAATAGGGTGTTATATTTAGTGAAGATGCCAAATGGATGCTCGCTCATTTCCACATTCATTTCATTTAGCCTTAGGTTTTTTTAGCATTTTTATTATAGATATAAGATTTAGAATAGTTTTATTTTTTATTGCTTTAGAATGTTGTTTCGCCACTTTGGCAAAAGTCAAATTTATAGTGCTCGTGTTTGTCATTTCGGGTTGGCGGACTGGCATCCATAAATTTACCTTTTATACATTCTCCGAGTGGGACTCAGCGCCACTCCCCACTCCCCACTCCTGGCTGGCTGGGGAACGTGTTTGCATTATGTAAGCACAAGTCTCTGGACGTCATAAGGGTTCTTGAACCTCTTTAGTCGGAGCGAAACATTGTGAGCGGGCAATTGTAATTAAATTGAATAAATTATGGGCAGGCATATAAGAATTAATATTGTTTACGACATTGACCCCACTGACCAAAGCAAAGAGAGAGAGAGAGGTAGAATGATCTCGAGTGTGAGAGAGAGAGAGAGGGAGAGGCAGATCGAGCTGCAGCATTGTAATTAGTAATCGGTCATGCAAGAAATAGAAGCCCCGTCGTGGCCCTCGAGCCACGAGTTGCCGTGAGTACGCTTCATTGATAATCTGGCCAGTGTGGGTGGGTGGCTCGGCTGGTGGGGCACTGCCGGGGACACACGCAGCCGTGGGGTCGCCCAATTGTAGGCAAATTTTCGTAGACAATTGTTTTGTCGCTGCGCTTTGATGGCGGCGGCGGCGACGTTGCAAGAATCGCTAGCCATTATATAAACATGCAGCGCGGCTCGAGAGTCAGTCAGTTGTACACATCAAGTGGCATTTGCACCACCAAGCACCACTCCAAACAAACACTAACTTGCAAACTAATCCGGCAACAGCATGTTCGGCTTCAACTCCGCTTGCCTCCTGCTCTCCTTGGCGCTGTTCTGCCTGCTGCTGAGCGGCTCCGAGGCAGCGCCGCGTCCTCAGGCGGCGCAGGCAGAGGCCGCCAGCAGCGACTTGGAGGCTGGCGTCGAGGCCGAGGAGAAGGATCTGGACGGCGCCGCCTCCTACGGCTATGGCTACTACTCGCCCTATTTCGGCGGCAGCTACTACGGCGGCTACTGGCCGCACTACACCGGCAGCTACTACGGCCTGGGTGAGTTCGGTGAGTCCACTGTGGCGAGCCATAATCTAATAATGCATGTCTGAAACTCTGCACCACTCTACTCTAGGCTATCCCTACTACGGCGGCTACTACGGACTGCATCATCATCATGGCCACTACGGACACTACTTCTAGATGGGCCTCAGCTCTAGCCTCACTCATAGCCAGCACTTACTGTAGCTGCGCTCTTGACCAAAATTCTTGAGTAGTTTGCGCACGTTAGCTTCAATTCAACGCACAAGGATAATTGCTTCAATTAAGCAAAAAAATGCAAAAAAAAAAAAGACAATGTTTCTATATAATAATTTATAGTAGGCGATCAAGCGTTTCGACTTTATGACCCATCGAATCGAAGGAGAGAGAGCCGTAACACCCCATACATTACAAAGTATTATACATATAATTAGTGTTAGATGTCATAAAATAAAAAAACGTTTTGCCAAAATAAAGAGCCGAAATATATCTATTTGAAATTCAAATGTGGCTGCCTGCTTTATGGCATCTGGGCTTGCGCTAATTAAAAGACTTTTCAAACAAATTAAGACGCGAATTAATCAGCGCGGGCGACGCGACGTGACAGCAGCTGCGGCAGAAGCTGAAAGCAGATGCCGCCACAAATGGTCAATGATATTTATGCAAATGCTAGAGTCATGAGCTAAAAGTGCTCGACAGCATGGTAAAGACTTTGTCACGCCGCCTTTTAGCCAGCTATTAGCTGCCAGCTGCCGTTCTTATTGGGCTGCTATGCTTTACGGTGCGTATGCGTTATTTATGAGAGTGATAAAACACGCTCTGGCGAATCCATCTTGGCGGGCATCTATTATGTAAGCCCTTAGCTATGGCCTGGCTGACATTTGGTAAACAATTTGGCTATTGGGCCATAAATAAACACAGCCAGCTGTCAAGCGCGTCGACAACTCCATCAGTCTCTCTGCCCATTTGTCCGGCTGTCCCCATCTGTCTGTCTGTCTGTCGAGCAGCCCCACTTGAACTGCAGCGCTGAAAGGTTGCGCGGAAGTGGTGCAGCTCGCCGTTAATCCCACGGCAATGCGACAGACTTATGGTGCGAGAATAACCGTTTAATTTGATCAGCTCGTTGTGGCGCTTGGACTTTGCATATAATTTACATGCCAAATGAATGATGAATGAGTGCTATGTGAACCTTGCCCATAAGCACGAAAATATACAAACAATTAATGAGTGCGAGATATATAAACTTCATAATTTGTCAAGTGCAAATCAAGCCGAGAATTTGATGCGTGAACGACCTCTGCTCGCAGTTAACAATTATTTATATTTAATGTGAGTTTTGCTCGCAGTTAAAAATTATTTTTATTTAATCTGAGTTTTGCTGCTGAGTTTGGTTGAAATATTTATTTGCTATATAAATCTCAGTATCAGGAACAATTCGTTTTGTATACTAATCTGCAAATAATGCCGTTAAATTGGCTATTTAATTATCATTTGATCACGTTTTTATACATACTCCTTTGTGTGGATGAATGAAGCGTGGCAACAGCATCCAAATTTATGATTATTAATGTGCGTGCTTTTTTTTTTTTTTTTGTCTCTATTTTGGGCTAACAATGCGGCGAATTTGTTTAAATTTAGCCACAAACTTGTTTGCCCAATGGCTATATCAATAATACAGAAGAAGCAATAATTAGTAATAATAGCATTCCAATTGGAATGCACTTATTCCCGTATGCTTTTGGCCCCAATCTAAATGAGCATGACTACGAAAATGATGTATATATAGATTTCATATGGGTTTAACACACTCATTGCCAATGGCCGAAACAATGCAATCGAAGCCGGACAAACAAATTGTCGACAAAGTTGAGAAGAGTCGAGTGTGCAGAGTATAACCGACTGCGTAATACCCGTTCGTCATGCAGACATGTGTGTATATATATAATTTCTTGAAATTACGGTCATCTACAAAACCAATATACTCCCTTTGCTCAGCTCGTGAGCGGGCATATTTGTAAAGTCATCGAGCAGGTTTATTTCGGATGTGAGCTTTAAACGTGTAGTAGATATTGTTTTGGAGTTCAAGTGCGCTCGATCTCATCGAAGCTATTTGGAATTCTTTGCTTTGTTTGAGCGTTGCGTGGGTTATGTTATAATTCAATTAGACGCTAATCGGGTCATTAGTGGACGCCTTGAACGATCCGATCCAATCCGATCCGATCCCATCCGATCCGATCGGCGCGGCGAGCGTTAAAATGCAATCAGTCTGCCCTCTCGTATTACGATATCATTATAAATAAATAATCAATCTATATGCAAATCGACTTACGGCTTACGGCTTACTGCTGTTGCAACAGTTCCTGCTGCGACAAGTTCGTTTCTTAAGTCATTCGTTTTCATTTGGTATGCAGCGCAGATAGAGTAACAAACGAATTGCTGCATCTGTGTGGCATCTGCCTGGCCAGGCTTCTTGCCACCAAGGACATCCTTGTTATACGCACTTGAACCTCATCCTGTTGTTGACCCTCAAATGCTCGGCCATTGAACTGGCCGCAGATAAAACTTGTTTCGCCCAGCTGCGGCAATTTGGCAACTTTTTGTGGTTGTTGCTGCTGCAAATGAGAATCTCTTGGCCTGGCCAAGACCTGCGCGCGGTCGGTCGGTCATGCGGTCGGTCGGCCGGTCTCTGTGTCGGCCATGCCAAAAGGCATTTAAATTTCGTCTTTGACCTTGCTCGCTGATCTTCATGCTATCTTCATGTGTGAATGGCGCACCACAGGGCGCGTCGCGTGGTATGTCCGCAAGCAGTGAGAGGGAGACCGAGAGAGAGAGAGAGAACGAGAGAGGGCGTGTGATACTCCGCACGCCTTAATCGCCCGTGTGTCCCATGCTCGAGTTGGCAAAAGCAAGGGCAATCAATTGTTGCCACCGAGCTCTAAATGCATCCGACCAGAAACGCGCCCAAACTACAACAACAACAGCAACCAGAGCAACCAAAACAAAGCCCAAGACTCAAGCAGCTCGTAATTTTATTACTAGCAATTCTAAAAGTCAAGCGCCTTAATTAGCCTTTGACTTCCGCAACGTTTGCAGCACACGCAGACGAAGAATGTTTGTCTGTTCTGCTGTGTCTTTATATGCATACGCATATCAGCTAGTGGGTGGAATGATTTATGAGTGTGCCGAAATGTTCATAAATCTATTTTAATGGCATTTTTTTTATTTTTGAGACCATTATGCATTAGATTCAAGTGCTTAGAGCCGTTCAGTGAGCCATTTAATCAGAATTTAAGGCAAGCGTACTATAAGAGGGAAATGCTACACAGCGCATAGACATATTCTAAATTATATCGCATTCATTATTTGCGACGTGAAGCGATGAATTTGATTTAAGGTCACATCTTGCCTAGTTGACTTGATTGTCTCTAGCTACATCATCTTTAGAAAGGCACAACAAAAATAAAACGCATCGTCAGCAAATCCTGTACGCTGAGGTCATCCAGACGATGAACTTTCTATAGAGCCCGTATACAGCTCTCGTTTCATTTCCTTCTTGACAAACAGGATCAGATCTCGCACTTGAAACGATGTTCATTATCTTGCCATGATGATGATGACGTGAATTGTGTGGATGATGCCGTTTCGACCTTGAAACAAAAGTGCAAAAATTGTTGACGCATCAATGGCTGTTGTTGTTGTTGTTGTCGTTGCTGTTGTTGCCGTTGCTGTTGCTGTTGCTTTTGCTCTTGCTGTTAACTTGGTGTAGGATGTATGTAATTAAGTTGAACTTGTTGCCGCTTGTCGTTCATAGCTGGCATTTGCTGTAGCTGTCGCTGCTTCGGCTGCTGCTGCTGCTGTTGCTGCTGCTTTTATGGCCTACAACATTTAGAATGCAAATAAATCCAATGTCCGATTTACTTTATAACGCATCGCTCAAATATGCTTAAGCTTGCTCGAATTTCACTAATTCTTTATATGTGCATCAGCTTATTAGCAATTGGAATTCTATTATTTATGAATGCTAAAAGTTATTAATATTTGTACAATTAATTTATTTGTATAGAAAAATTTTGAAGCTAAAATTCATTTTTAATTTGAGAAGTTTTTGAACTAAAAAATTTTAATATATTTTAATAATTTTTTTTTTGTTTAATTTATTTATTTTATTTTATTTTATTTATTTATTTATTTTTATTTTATTTTTATTTTTATTTATTTTTTTTTTGTATGCCGGCTCTATATAATAATGTATTTACTTGTATTTAACATTCAAATATAAATAAATTAAAAATTAATTTTAAATACTTTTTTTTTTTTTTTTTGTATGCCAGTTCTATATAATAATGTATTTACTTGTATCTAACATTCAAATAAAAATAAATTAAAAATTAATTTTAAATACTTCTTCAGCTTCCGCTCTTAATAGATCATTATCGTATTGTGGAATAAAATAAAAATAATCTCAAGGAAAATCGATCGCTTCAATCTTACAGCAAAGGGAACTTAAATATTTATTAACCATTTGTATTTTTGTTTTTAGAGCATTTGCGCAGCAGCCTTGTGCCTTCTTGTTTTTTTTAATTTTATTTCAAACTAAATTGATCTTCGAATCGGATTGAAGTCTTTGAGCTATTAAAGAAGTCTGATCACAGAGAAGTCTGTGCAAAGCTGAAATCTTTTCGTCAGCAAAAGACGTCAACGAATATCAAGCATTATGTAGATCATTTTGGCTTGCGACGTCACCTGGCCTGCCTATAAAATACGTATTGAAATAAACTTGCATGCTGTATGTAAATTGCTGATAGATTCAAGGAATTAATAAATAAATATTTTTGCTAGTTTTGTCTAATTTTAGAACATCTACTTTTTGAAAAATTAATAAAATAAATGTGTTTGCATAACAAAAACGCAGAAAGTTGTTTTAGGTTCATTAACCTTTTCTAGACTTAATATCTTTAAACAGCTCACTCTTGCCTCAACCTTGTGGTTTTATTTTTATTACATATAAATCTCATCTGAAATTCAATTAAAATACGTTCGGTATTACCGAATCGGTAGAAGTTTGCTCAATAAATATTTCTGCATAGAGCATTTGTACTTCGGCCTTGCACACAATTCGCTTTCCCACACCTGTTAGCTAATTAATTTAATTACCTGTCATATTGTGACTTGTTCAATATTATTTCCCAAAAATCAAGTGAGGTTTGTTGAACCGTTCGCCGGACTTGCAGTGGGTGAAAATGATTCATTGTTTGTTGTCGCTGCTTCGATTGTGGCTCGCCCTGCGCTTTGTATGCTGCCGGCGAAATTATTGTGGTAGTCAGCTGTCCAAAATGCATAAAAAATAAAAATAAAAATAAAAACAAAAGCAGAACAAAAACAAAAGTCATGCGATCTTATTATTTATGTGCCAGACGCGGAGCATCTTAACTAGTGCCTAGCCACATCCTGGCTGTCGACGCGTCGCTCGCTGGGAGCGCATACAAATCAAGTTAAAGAGGAGAAGAACCTGTCCACTTAGTCGCGCTCGTAGCTGGCACACAAATTGCGCAATTAAAGTTTTTTTTTTATTTACATGAATATATATACTAAATGAATATATATATTCTTGAAGCTAAGCGGCTTGAGAAGTGTCTAGCGTAGAAAGCTCGTCTTTTAATTATTCCATAACAAAAAGTTGAAAACTTTTAGCTTAGAGAGCCGTTAATTTGTTGTGTATTTGTTTTTGTTGTTGTTGTTGCTGTTGCTTTTTGTTTGATTGCCACAAAAATATCGCATTTGAAAGTTGAAATACTTGAACCCATGTACAAATCGATATATCGTCTATCTTCCGGTTATTTGGCTATATTATTATAACAATAATTGAATTTCTAGTTTCAACTTAAGCTCAACCAGCATCATTTGTATGTCTTTTTTTTCAGTTTTTTTTTTTTCGTTTATGTTTTGTGTGCATTTAGTTTACTTGGTTTTATTTTTAGGGTCTCGAATTAATCTGCTATGCAATCCATTAAACGGCCATAATTTGTCAGCAGCTCGATTAATGAATGAAACAACATTAATTAGCAATTAAAAATGCTTTAAACAAGGTTTCTACGTAGAATCTGAGACCCAATGCCCAAATGCCCGATTGCTGCATTCGCTTTTTGGGTGCAGTTACGAAATTCGTTGACTTTGTTTCCAGTCGAGCCGATGATTGATGAAATTTGAATTAATCTCGCGCCTTTGCAATACTTTCATAGCAGTACTAACTGCTAATCGACGAGCCTCGAGCCTCGAGTGAATTCAATTTCAGTGAAGCTGGCAGCTAAGGTCAGGCAACGCAACGAGAGCCCTCAAAATGCTGTAGACAAAAGAAAACTAGAGCCAATTGAGCCAGTAGGGTTTCGCCTTGGTTAAATGATGGACTACAAGATGCCCTCTAAACGGGCTCAAGCCATTTATGCCTAGCCATACAGACATACGTGACAGTTTGCATATAGTAAAAAATGCCAGACTAGTTGATTCCCTGCACGGAAAAGTCATAAGAGTGTAATTATGTTGGAATCGAATATATTCTCTGCTGAGCTTTGAGCTGAATTTCATTAGTTTTCAAATGCTAGACTGAAGATACTCTGTTCTTGTATTAGAGCTTGTGAACTATAAAGACGATTATACTATGCGAGTTCGTAGTATTTTTTAGAGCAAAAATACCCTACAATTAGTAATCTGATTCTAGCCAGCTCTTATATATATTCAAATTCTAAGAGTACGGGGTATATATGTATTATTTTAGTTAACATTTATCTGCAGTTCCATTTAACGAATCCACATATCGAATATTAAAATTATTAGCAATACCCATTTTAAATACTAATGGGGTATACACCTCTATTTCTGCCCAGCTAGAATCGTACCCTTCACTATTTTGAGTATACCCCATTTGCCTGGCTATCTTCCCTATAAGCCCCTTCGCTACAGGGCATCCAAAGTGTTAGCTGCTATTAAAGCTAGTCGGCCAATTTGCGACACATTCACGGTCACATCAAATGTGAGGCAGTAGCCCAAAAACGTGAATCTGCGAGCCGTCTTGGCAGCTCGGCTGCCCGGTTGTCGAGTCGTTGCGTAGCAAATGGAACGAACTGCCGTCAGCTGGCAGGAAGCCGCAAACGCCAACGCAGAGGCTCTGTGGTTGTTGCACTTGAAGTGCTGGCAGCTTCACCTGCACCACTACCACTACCACCACCACCACCAGCACCATCACCGTCAGCGAGCACCATCGACGAGCAGTGGCGCATGCGTAGCCGAGTCAACTCGAAGTGTATTATCCGAAGTCGGGTGCGCTGCCTGTTCGGATTGATGCTCTTATAAATAAGCCGTGCGTCGGCTCTGCTTTTCTTATTTGAACTTCAAATCTGCTCGAGTTCGCATCTCGAATCGTGGAGCGATATTGAAACGCGCACGTTTTCCCAGCGTTTCATCTGTCGCGCTCATCTCGGTGTGTGTTCGTGTTCTGAAAGAGTGTATTGCATACAAGTGGGTAGCTGTCGCCATATACAGCAGTGCTATATAGAACATAGAAGCTAATCTATATATAAATCACTTATATATATTTTTAGCTGCTGACGCAAGTGTTGATCGCGAATAGAGTTTGTGCCGCGATAGTTGCAACCAAGATGAAGATGGTGAGTCGCCTTATAGAGTAGCGCATGTGTGTCTCCAAATCGTGCAACAATCAAGTAATAAAAATATCAGCCAATGGACACTTAAAGCGCCAGAATGCAAGAGAGGTTCACACTTTTTTTTTTTGGGGTGCAGTTGCAGTTGCAGTTGCAGTCGATGCCAGCTGCCATTCGTCTGTCAAACGAAATTGCCCAAGCGAGCAGCAGTAAAAAAAAAAGGCAAAAAGACAGCAAAACAAACAACGAAAATTTGCATAAATAGCGCTACAATTGTAAAAAATCGCAGTGAGCCCAAAAATCCACTAACTCAAATGAAGACGAAAATGAAAAACAAACGGGGGAAAACTGCGCCAAAGCCAAAGTAGGTGGCAAACAAAATGCGAACAACGAGACAACAAATGACCCTTAAGCCTAATGGCATCGTTGATTCACTAAATGTGTTAGCCAAGCAACCAAAAAAAGAAAAAGAAGAAAAAAGGTTTGTTTTCAATGCGAAAAGCCATCAACCGAAAACACATTCATAAATCCCCTCGAGAAAAAGCACTTAGCGCGCTTCACGCTCTGCGCTCAGTTCTTGGCTGCCAAAAAATGTGGCAAGCGATTTGACAACGTTGCGTATGCGCAATGTGTGGACAGCCAAAAGCTGAGCTTGATGAATGAATGATATATATATAAATATATACATATGTACATATATATTGTATATATGTATATGTGTTACATATGGCGCAGCAGCATAGAAGTTGGGGACAGCGAGTCTAAACTTAATGTCAGCAATAAAAACAAGACACACTCAGCTGCGCCTCAAGGTCGTCTTCACATACTCACAGTCAGAAAGATAGAGAGAGAGAGAGAGAGAGAGAGAGAGAGAGGAGTGGGAGAGGGAGGCTGTGACTGCTCATTCTGTTAAAGGGAATTTCACACGCCTCAATTGTGACAATTAACGCGCCTTCTAGCTGATTATTGGACCTGTTGTCTCCGTCATTACGCATTGTTGTAAAGGTGAGCTGTGATTCAGCAATCGGATACCCTGGAAGCAGTCAGTTGTGGGTGCAGCTGTTGCAATGCCTACAGAATGATGAGTTGGCAATTTGTCAAGAGATTTCATAATAGCCAAATTCAAATATGTTTACAGTAATTAAGTAGAGCGGAAATTTGAAGCTCTCAACCACAAAGCACATGACCAAAATTAATATTTGATATATATACATATATATACATATATATATATATATATATATATATATATATATATATATATATATAAATGTTTTTTGTTTCTTCTAACAATTCCATATCTGTTAAGTTATATAAAAAATGCGAATTGCGGTCCGCCTTCTGCTCATCACGCTAAGAATTTATTGTATGACACCTGAGTCACAGCCATATACATACATACACACACATATCTAACAGCATTTCAACAACTTCTACACTTACTTGGGCAGCGACTTAATGGACAACATTGTACGAAAATAGTAGTTTGGCGCTTTAGGCCATAAAGTCGTAATGAATGTAGCCCAGAACAGAGAAGTCTGAAACAAGCTGAAGAAGCAGTAGCTATATAGTTTTTTCATTTTCTTTTTTTTTTTATGGTTCCAGCTGCAGTTGCACATTTGAGTAGATGAATTCTGAGTTGTCGAATTGACAGCTGAGAGTTGATTGCGACTGTGCAGAGTGCCATTTTATAATTTGTTGGCTGTTGTCTTTTGCCTTAATTTCAATTAATCAAAATAACTCGTCTTGCTGCTGCGTGGGAGTTTGAAACAATTTTTATATACATTTGGATGGGCTCTTGGCTTTGTCTTTTTATATGTTTACGAATTCAATTCGCTTGATAGCTCGTCATTAGAAGTTTATGGCATCGAGAGTTCTCTCAAGGCGATCGTTGATTCTCCCCCACCCGCTCTGCCCTAAGTAATTTATGAGCTTCGATTCGAACGTTTAGATTCCGGGTTCGAGTGCCAGACTTGTTTGCTCGCCTCTACAAAAATCGATCAGATTAATGGCTAGAATTGAAAGTGTAGCATTCGACTACCAAGAGACAGTCGGCAGGCTGAAGTCTTAAATCCTCTCAGCGATGTTTATGAATGAGTTAGCTAATCTGCAACGTGACGGACTTATCAGATGATAGCTGCGACAAAGGTATTCAAATTAGTTCGCAGTTCACTTTTTCCACTGTCAGGTCGACAGACAGAAGTGGAACTAGTCGAGCAATTCGCGGCAATTCAATTCATCAAACTTTAATAATCAAGCGACTATCCAGCGGCAGAAAGTTCTTTTATCTAATCGAGCATAAAACTATGAAAATTGCGTAACAACGTGCTAATACGTTATGTATTAATTAGAACATAGTCGGTTCAAAGTGCCGCATGCTAATTACGGATGCGCTGACATTGACTCTAACTGGAAACCTGTTGCTGTGGCAGCTGCTACCAGTTTTTGATTTAGTTTTTTTTTTTTTTTTTTTTTTTTTTTTTTTTTTTGTTGTTGTTGCTGCTGCCGCAACGGTCTGCGAGGCATGCGGGAATAAGGGTGCCTTCGGCGCCAGCCTGTCATTGGTAGCCAATAGTTGAAAAGCATTCCAAACAACGAGTGCTTAAGCCCAACTGATTTTCAGTACGTTCACCCAATGTCATTTACAAATGGAGCCTACCATGTTAAAAAGTAACTTAATCTGTTTCACGAGCTGTGCCAATTGTGACCTTATTTAATGTTATACATATATATGTACATATAATATATCGAAATATAAATATACTGCATTTGGGTAGCCCTAATGCTGTCAATAGCTGCCTCACTTGCCTACTGGCTAAGACAATGATCTTTCATATATATTTAACTTGATCTTTTATCTTTTTAGCAACTTCGCTTGTTGTGCATTGTTCTGTGCGCTGTCGCAGGCCAGAGCCTGTTGGATGATACTCGTCGACAGGATAATTTTTTGGTGGGTTGTGTCTATATGAGCCTCGCTAATCCAGCCAGCTAATGGAGTCTTTTTTTACAGGGCTTGCTCGACCGCCTATCCCCACCGCTGAAGGGCTACGCGTATCCAACCCCTGCTCCCACGGGTTATACCTACCCAACCCCTACTTTTACGGGTTATACCTACCCAACACCTAGAACCACACCTAAACCAACACCTAAAATAATACGTCCTCCAACTCCCACTCCAACGTACTTACCTCCAACTCCAAGTTCAACTGGATATGTCTATAACACTCCAAAAATTCCATTCGTATTGCCACCTAAAACTACACCTACACCAACAACAAAAAGACCTACACCTAAAATAATACGTCCTCCAACTCCCGTTCCAACGTACTTACCTCCAACTCCAAGTTCAACTGGATATGTCTATAACACTCCAAAAATTCCATTCGTATTGCCACCTAAAACTACACCTACGCCAACAACAAAAAGACCTACACCTAAAATAATACGTCCTCCAACTCCCGTTCCAACGTACTTACCTCCAACTCCAAGTTCAACTGGATATGTCTATAACACTCCGATAATTCCATTCGTATTGCCACCGAAAACTACACCTACACCAACAACAAAAAGACCTACACCTAAAATAATACGTCCTCCAACTCCCGTTCCAACGTATTTACCTCCAACTCCAAGGTCAACTGGATATGTCTATAACACTCCAAAAATTCCATTCGTATTGCCACCTAAAACTACACCTAAACCAACAACAAAAACAACACCTAGAATAATACGTCCTCCAACTCCACCTCCATCCTACTTACCTCCAACTCCAAGTTCAACTGGATATGTCTATAACACTCCAATAATTCCATTCGTATTACCACCTAAAACTACACCTAAACCAACAACAACAAAAACAACACCTAGAATAATACGTCCTCCAACTCCACCTCCATCCTACTTACCTCCACCTACTGACGGTAAAATTGGATATGTCTATCCCGTTCCAAAAATTCCATTCCCATTGCCACAGTCGTATCCCAAAGTAGAGTCTAAGACAAGTGGTTACGTATATACCCCACCGACCCCTAATACCCGCATTGCGTCAACGTATCTTCCACCCCGCCCAATCACAACTCCGACGACCACCCGAACGACCCAAAACGTAGGCTATGTCTACCCAACGCCCAGAATTCCCTTTCTTTTCTAGGCTCCTCAGATGCCTATCCCATTACTAATTAATTGACACGATTGCCTCTGCGTGCCGATAGGAACATACGATATTAAATAATTGTAATTAACTGTAATAAATTAATTTAATATATACACTTGAAAGTGTTGTACCTGAGTCTGCACTCGCCGTCTCTGCATTCGAATTTTAGTCATTAAAGTATGTTTGTAAAAATCAGCCGAAATAAATCGAACTATGTCAACGAAAATTATGATTTTTTTTTTATTAATTTAATAAAATTTATGTATTAAAACAAATGTTTTTTTATACCTTGAATCCATCATATTTTTCGATAACTCGTCCGATAACTTTTTTATCGAGAATAATCGAAAAATTTATTTTGTTTTTTCAACCAACACTTATAGACCTAAAGACAACAGATTTACTGTGTATATACAGTTGATCGATATGAAGATTTTGTAATTTGCACGCCCCCTTCGCCCTCAATTAAAAAAAAAAAATGCATTTCAAGTACTAGAGACTTGTGCTTTGGAATGTACACACATTTTTACTATATGATTACGCTCTGAAAGTTTGTGTCTACAAAAGAAATTATTCAAGAAATAAATTCTCATAATATTGCCCACACTGCAGCGCAGCCTAAGCGCTGTCGCTGCTAGCTGCGCAGTCAGCAGAGCGCGTGATTATACGCAATGAGGCAATGTGTGTATGTAGATATGCAATGGTTGTGCTCGCTAGACACATCAGCAGCGTATGTGAGTGTGAATGTGTGAATATGTGAAAGGTAAGACGATTGCAAACACTTTTTCTGTTATCCGTCACATTCTGAGTCTTATTCTACCAGCATTATTCGTATTACTTCCGAAACGACGCAAATCTCTCACACGAGGACTAAAACGGCTTAAAAGGAATGATCGTGCTCAGAATGAGAGCGACTTACCGTTTACCTAAGTTTCATATTATTATTAATATGACCTATGCATCTGCTATGGAATCAACTTTAAGCTGGACGTAGCTAGAGATTTGAGGAGCATACTTTCTAGCGCGTCAAGTAATTGCACCTAAAGCTATGCAAACTGTTTTTAGCAATTTTTTTTTTTTTTTTTTTAGATAGTATGTTTTATAAGACTTAATCCAATTTCCCCTTTGCAATCCTAATATTAAAATTCCATTTGATCGCGACGGCAAATCTAGCATAGTTAGCTTTGACAATTAATTCAACTGAAGAAATCTGATACCGGTCTCGAATTAGTAACGCGTAACGGTATATGAGAACCATTGCAATCGGAAAGCATCTAAAGTATTCTAGGCAGCGAGGTGTCAAGGTAACATCCATCATGTGATAGCCAAATTCGTAGAGTTCAGGAGCGAAATTTGAGATTGGTTACCGGCTGGGAATGGCTAATGGTAACATATATATGACTTTTGAGACTCTATCGTGATTGGGTTTTTCTGTGTTTTTATACCAGATTATTGGTCTATTCATAGCGTTGGTCTAGACAAACTCTTAACTGCTTGAATAAAATTAAAATTAAAATAAAAAATAAATAAAAAATAAATAATACAAAACAAAAAACAAAAAAAAAAAGAAAGTTGAAAAAAGTAAATATATAGTTTGGCTTATGAAATTTGCATTATAAAATATTTACATAACATTACTGTTTTTGGGTTTTAGAAGCTAAGCTCAAAAACTTTTGAAATAGATTATATCATTAGGTTGTCATCAGATAAAGATGAATATGCATACTATATCGATATACATATATTTAATTTATGCAATTTTATTTAGTATACTTTATTCATTATTAAATATTCTATGTATTTGGGAAGAAAATTTGCAATATAGAAAAGTGGATTTAAAAGACATTTGTAAATCGTTTTGAAGGGTATTTCTTTATTAAAACTGTTCCCTGGCAATTGCCGTACAAATCATTAAAATCAACTTTTCAGCTGGAGGTAACATTTGCTTGGTCGCTTGCTGGGTAGCCTCGATAGCTTGCCATTTAGTATCTGCGGCGACGGATGACGCGACGGTGGGTCTTGTAGCGGTAGCCATCAGTGGAGGAGAAGGTGTGGGCTGCGACGGGCTCGGAGGCAGCGGTGTCGTAGCTGTCAGCGCCATAGGATTCGACAGCTGGTGCGCTGTAGGACTGGACTGGGGCAGAGGCAGCTGCAGTGTAGACTGGAGCGGGAGCAGAGGCTGCGGGAGGCAGGTATTCGCTGACTGGAGCAGAGGCAGCACCCTGGAATGGGGGCAGATAATCGTTGGAGGGCACACCACGACGATGGCGACGGAGGACAACGCGACGGTGGGTCTTGTAACGGTAGCCTTCGGCCGGGGAGAAGCTGTGGGCTGGTGCTGGCTCAGAGGCAGAGGTCTCGTAGGTATCGGCAGCAACTGGTGCGCTGTAGCTCTGGACTGGAGCAGAGGCGGCCACGTTGTAGTTCTGAACGGGTGCGCTGTATGACTCTACTGGAGCGGAAGCAGCAGCGGTGTAGGTAGCAGGAGCCGAGTAGGATTGGACGGGAGCAGCGTAGCTCTGCACTGGAGCCGAAGCAGCAGCGGTGTAGGTAGCGGGAGCCGAGTAGGATTGCACGGGAGCAGCGTAGCTCTGCACTGGAGCCGAAGCAGCAGCCGAGTAGGACTGAACGGGGGCAGAGTACTGCTGCACTGGAGCCGAAGCAGCAGTATCATAGCTAGCATATGAGGCAACTGGTGCGGAGGCGGCGCCACGGCCAGGTGGCAGGTACTGGTTGGTTGGCAGATGGCTAACATCCGCGGCAACGCAAGCGACGAAGGCAACGAGCAACAACAGTTTCTGCGAATAGAAAGAGAAAGACAATTAGTTTGGTCTCACTGTGGCAGTCCCTTACTAAGGATCTGTATGTGCTTTAGCTACCATTTTGCTAGCTTGCTTTTTGTTCTTCAGCTAACTGCAGAATCCCAAGAAGAAATGATGCTGCTTGCTAAGTTCTGCCGGATATTTATATGATTCTAATCACACCGCTTGCTATGCTACCAAAATTAGCATTTGACTTTGCATTAAATTAATGTATTTTGCTTTTTGTATAAAAAGTTAGACAGCACCGCCAAAAAAATAAATCTATTATAGTTTTTTTTACTTTTCTTATTGCTATTCAGGTTTAATACAAGTTTCTTTCGTGACACACACACAGGTGCTTATTAATATATTTATATATATAAATATATTTATATATTTGCAGTGAATCAATTGAATTATGTTCGACTATTGATGTCCACATCAACTTGCAGCTTGAGCTTTAATTGGTCAGCCAAAAACTGGCCACAAAGTAATCTGTTTTAATTAACAATCTACTTCTTCTTCTTTAACCCCTCCGCACTGCGGAATTTCTCTCATCTAAGCTCGTGCCGCCTTTTATTTACTTATTTAGATTTATTTATTCACTTTTTTTTATTTTGTTGCTCCCATTGAACCAAGTCAATTCATCCGTAATTAGATTTCGATATAATTCGATTATGGCTTCATTTACATATTGTCAACGCGAGTCGTGCAAGACTGCCAGACTTCTTGGCAGACAGTGCCTCGAAAAAGTATTGCATAACTCAAGGATGCCTGCTGAAGCGCCAAAAACGAGTTTTTGCGGATTGCTTAAAGTCTGCCAGATAATTGAATAAGAGTTAAACTAAATGCATATGAATATTTGCTATCAGGCCATCAATAAATGCGGATGTTCGGAAGACTAGCTTATAGGCTATTCCTATTCGTTGAAGCAAAGACTCAGATAAGACATTTCGATCTATATCGAACGGATTTTGCTTGTGCCTGTTAGGCTGCTATATAATATACTTCAAACCATTTACTCTAAAGGAATCGGCGATAAATACAACATGGTAATCCGACACTAAGCAGAAAATTGTCTTAATCGGATCTCATAATATATATATATATATATTTTTTTTTTAATTTTGATATGTAGATTGGTAAACCATCAAGTGTATAATGGACTAATCCATAAGAGAATGTAGGAAGTCTTTCCTTCAGATAATATAGATACTTCCTTTATTATACATATTCCCCGATTTTGATGCATAATAATTTAAGTATGGAATATTGATTCGAGACCCTCGTAAAGTCTTAAGATTTCCTCAATATGCCCATTTAAGGCATGGCTGATCAGGAAATACTATATATATGACTATTTAAAGGGCTATAGACTTAAGACTTCAATTCAAAAAGGTATATACGGCTTTTGGCGGTGTGGTCAATCGGCTAAAGCTGTTAATATTACAGCTTTACAGCTCGAAGGTAATTCTGAAATTGACAGATCCACATCTCCCATTCATACTTGTTTTTATTCAATATTGTTCCTGAAATCAAAATGCTTTTGTTAAGTTTTATTTAAATCAGAATCATTGGACCACGCTTCTATTTGTATAAAACAGGGTCTAGCTAGTTTATTTATTCTTTTGTAAAACACGCGCATTCGTGTATCCATTAATAGATACAGATAGTTTGAATCGGTTTGAATTTCATTGTTCTTTTCAGAACTAAGTAGACTCCAAAGAAATCCCCTTTAATACATGCATATGTATACATACATACATATATATTAGCTCATATGCTATCAGTGCTGATCTGTTCAATCAAAGTCTAGAGACATCCACACTTGTTTGATTTGAACTTGTCGTTAAATACTGAAACGACATCATATTTATGCGTATTTGAAGCCTGTATGGTAAGTTCTAATTAATATAATTTGATCACTTTAAGAACTAGACTTTCCTTATAGGGGACTCCATTTATGGGAAGCCCTATATCGATGATAAATGATAGATCACACACGATCGATGTTTGTTCTATGGATAAGTCGAAATAATAAATAAATAACAAGTATTGGATATTTTCGTAGTAATTTTATTTCGTTAGCGAAAAAATGAAATTTTCTTACATATTATTTAACTTGCACTCCAAAATGAGCACAAGTTGATCACTTAGTGAAACATTTCAGATGAGGCTTTAATGACGACGACGGTAGACGACACGGCGGTTAGTCTTGTAACGGTAACCATCAGGACCGACCTCAGTCTCGACAGCTGGCACACCGACATCTATGACGGAAGGCTCAGAGATCTGGACTTGAGGGACAGCGGTCTGGACGGGTGGCAAGTAGTCGTTGGATGGGGCAGCAAGAGGGGGCAGATAGTTGTTGGAGAGCTCGCTCACATCACGACGGTGACGACGGAGGACAACACGACGGTGGGTCTTGTAACGGTAACCATCATCGGCCAGCTCATGAGCGGGAGCAGGCTCAACATTCTGGACAGGAGGCAAGTACTCGTTGGATGGGAGTGGCTGGCTGATCTGCACTGGGGGCAGGTATTCGTTAGAAGGCAGCTCGTTCACATCACGACGGTTGCGGCGGACAACAACACGGCGGTTGGTCTTGTAACGGTAACCATCAACAGCGATCTGGCCCTGGGAGTCATCAACAACGTTGGAGACTGGAGCGAGGTATTCGTTGGAAGGAACTGACACCTCAACAGGGGGCAGGTACTCGTTGGAGGGCAGTTCGTTCACATCACGACGGTGGCGACGGAGGACAACACGACGTTGGGTCTTGTAACGGTAACCATCATCGGCCAGCTCATGAGCGGGAACAGGCTCAACATTCTGGACAGGAGGCAAGTACTCGTTGGATGGGAGTGGCTGGCTGATCTGCACTGGGGGCAGGTACTCGTTGGAGGGCAGCTCATTCACATCACGACGGTTGCGGCGAACAACAACACGGCGGTTGGTCTTGTAACGGTAACCATCAACAGCGATCTGGCCCTGGGAGTCATCAACAACGTTGGAGACTGGAGCGAGGTATTCGTTGGAGGGAACTGACACCTCAACAGGGGGCAGGTACTCGTTGGAGGGCAGTTCGTTCACATCACGACGGTGGCGACGGAGGACAACACGACGGTGGGTCTTGTAACGGTAACCATCATCGGCCAACTCATGAGCGGGAACAGGCTCAACATTCTGGACAGGAGGCAAGTACTCGTTGGATGGGAGTGGCTGGCTGATCTGCACTGGGGGCAGGTACTCGTTGGAGGGCAGCTCGTTCACATCACGACGGTTGCGGCGGACAACAACGCGACGGTTGGTCTTGTAACGGTATCCATCAACGTCCAGGGAGCCCTGGTTGATTGGCTCCTGGTTGATTGGAGCCAGATACTCGTTGCTGGGAAGAGCAACGGTCTGGACATCCTGCTGCACAGGGGGCAAGTACTCATTGACGGGCAGGTTGGCGACATCAGCGGCCACAGCTGCTATCACAGCAAAAGCAACGAGGAAAAGTTTCTGTTGAGCAGAAAGAGATTTGATTTGATTAAGATTCGGATGTTGAATATTCCACGAGATATGTTTGTATTTGGATGAGCGGAAGCAGCTCGAGATATGATGCGTACCATCTTGACTGCTGAAGTTGAGTTGTTCACTACAGTAAAACCGAAACTCTAATGAAGAAATACGCAGAACCTTTTGGTATTTATACAAATTCTTCTCGCTGTAATAGTGCTGTCTGCCCTGCATTGCTGTCGCCGTCGCCGTCGCCGTCGCCAAAACAGTTGCTGTCGCTGTCGCTGTCGACGTCGACGTCGACGTCGACGTCGTCGTCATCATCTCCGGCGTTGTCTGTAAATTTCGCACGGCCAGACTCTGCACGAGTTCTAAGCCATTTCAGCGGCTCCAATTAACTGACCACGCTCGCTTGGCAAACTCGCTCAGAGACGAGCAGGCAGCAGCGACTGCGACGTCGGCGTCGACGTCAGCGCTTACATTCGCACAACGAGCTTAGCCAATTCGGTCGGACGGATTCTCTTAATTGTTTTCTTTAATCTTATGCAAAACATTTGATGGACAACAAGCACACACACACACACACACACACACGCACAAGCACACGCAAAATATATATGTGTATATCCATATGTTTATAGTTTTCGTTTGCTTCAACAAAGATTTGATTTGATTTGATTTGATTTAGTTATTGCTGTTGTTGTTGTTGTTGTCGTCTTCTTCTCTTTAGATTTTCATTCAAATGAGATACGAATAAAAGTCGCCTATTCAATCAATCGATATAAATTTATACACATGTTCAAGTACTTATGATGCCCATATGTTGTGTTTATTGTGCCTTGGCTTATTGTTTCCATTGTTGTGCCGTGTCGTCGCTGTTCATTAATCATTTAAAGGAACTGCCGCAACAGCGCGGCATTCGATTCCATTCAAAAAGATCTTATAATGATGGCATATTTCATTTTCGATTTATCTAGTGCGTAAATTAAATGCCGGATATAATGCGTTGACTCTCTGACCATTCACACTTTGACACCAAATGGATCCCCAGCCAATGCACGGGCCCATTTGCGAAACCGTATTTACAAATCGTGAAACTCCCCTTCGAAATTTACTAGATCGCGTGTCAAATAGTTAAGTTGTATTAATTTGTTGACAATTCTTATCTGCGATCTAACTACGAAACTGCAAATAAGCAATAATAAATTTCAAACAGACAAACTGTAAGGCATGCAAAAGAGTTTACACTAAGAGAAAATAGTTGAGACTAGTTCACACTTAGAGAAAATAGTTGACCATGTCGAAAATCAAATAAAAAATTTCAAAATATCCAAGGTTTGTTATCCAAGTCAAGAGTTTTTTCTCAATGTATTTCGATATAGAACTTGAATAAAGTTTATCTATACTTAGTATATAGTTTGATTTTTTCCAGTGTGTATAACTTAATTTGAGGCACACATTACCTTCCACACAGCTCAACTATTGGCATGATTAATGATATGTGATCTGTGCAAAGCGCAACATGAAAAGGAATTGCAAACATTTGACTCGATGCGAAGCGATATGCTAGTCTCAATGCTAAACTGTGCCATCGCTGGCATCAGGCTCGTTAGTTGGGCGCCAAGAACTAATTGGTTCCGGCCCATTGAAGGATGAATTTGCTGGGGAAAGACCAAAGGCTGACGTGTTTCTATTGGTACTTAGAATTGGCCAACTCAACTACTAGTCATGGTCAAGGCTAGATTAGTCCAGCTTCTCTTTCTCCAGAGAACGATCATAATGATTGAATTGGATTTATAGACAAAGAAATCTGTTTTGGTTAGCTGATAGACAAGTTTTGGCTAATTGACTGGTGCTATAAAGCAAATGTGGCGACCATCAAAAATTTACATTTGCTTTCAATGCATCCACACACACGTCAGACAAATTAGAGTTCTTGTTTGTCGCCGTTAACCAAAACTATACAAACTGAACAATGGCAATACTAATTCGATTTCCTGTATTTTTCGACAAATCGCCAGCTCCAGCTCCAGCTCCAATTGATGGGGCCCTAACACAATGTACAATCAAATCTGGCGATCGAATCGAAGCTTATTTTCTAGTCTAGTTTATGGGCAGCGAGGAGTGTTTATTATGCAAAACTACCCAATATATATAATTCTCTTATTTATTTACTTTTTTTTTTTTTTTTTTTTTTTTTTTGTATTGTATTTGTAGTACTGGTTCAGTTGGCCATAAATGTTGCTAGACAATACATCACAGGCGTAATTATTATGGCTTAGATGGCGTTGTCTCATCGCAGCAGCCGGTCCAAGCACTTAAAAGTGCCATTTCGGAATTAATGTTTATGCTGAAATGGCATAAATATGCAAATTAGTGAATGGCAGTTAAGCTCGTCCCACCGACTATCGCAGAATCGAGAACACACCAGAAAAAAAAAAATATATATATAAATAAATAAATAATAAAGAAGAAGAATATATGTATATAATAATGCAAAAGACATCATAATGACCATTAAACATAAAATGGTCTGCCAAAGAAATAAACGTGCGTCCAGCTCGGGCTTAAATCAAACGCTTCTCATTAGAAGCCAGTGGATCCCGAAGCGCGAACTGAACCACATTAACTAGCTCGCGCAGAGATTCGACCAGGTCGCCCTTTAGCCACGCTTCAGCTAGTCTGGTTATAGAGTTTTGTGACTCTGAAGTGCTTTGCGACTGCCTAATTTATTTTGCTCTTTCTCTTCTTCTTTTTTTTTGGCTTTTTGTTCCTTTTTATTTTCTTTTTTGTTGTTAACAGCGTCGCTCTGTCTAACAGAAACCTTTTTGCGCCGACTTAATTTATGCAAATTCTATTTTAATTAATATTATTCGCATTGGTTTAAGCAGCATCGAGCATCAAACAGCGGGCAGCAACAGCGAGAGTCTCTTTCACATCGCGTCGCTTCCTTCAAGCGGCACTCACACGCGCGCCTTAATTTAGTTTTCTAATCGCATACCCTAACCGCCGTTGAGCCCCACAGCTGCGGCATTGACTGGGCCGTTGCAAAGTCAAATAAAATTGCTAGGAATTCAGCTGATGATTGTGCTCAAATGATGCTGCCTTGAGCTACGCCTTGTGACTTGGTTATAATTTTTTTTTTTTTTTTTTTGTCAACTGCAATTAAACAATTTGTTCATATTTTAATGAAATAATTAGAAGTAATTTATTAACGCATGCCTCTCGACTGACATTCCATTTACCAAATGCAATTCAATTTCTAAATCTAAAAACTGCAAATTTCAATTCCAAAGACTTTGTAAGTAAAATTTGCTTCGGTTTAGTGAGAAGGCTCTGCGATCATTTGGACATAAATTTAATTATTATAAACCAGTTTTTAATGTGCACTTAACATCTTAATTAAAACTTAATAGAATAGAGTATAGCTGCCTCTGCTTGCATTTTTTGTTGTTTGTTAAGTACACGTTTTAGTCTTTTATGATAAATTAAGCTTTTGTTTTTTCTGCTCATTTTGTTGTGTTTAATTTAAATGCATGATAAATCATTCGGGAAACCAGTTTGCAGTCTTTCTTGCTTCAAATGTTGTCGGCGCGATCCGCGGCTGCGACTAGAAAGTGCCGACAGCGACATGGATCTCATCTTCAACAGAATATAAATAAATAAAATGAAACGAAAACAGCAACAAATCCACAGATTCATAAATAGAATTATAATAATCTCGCACACTTCCAACACGCGGCTGGGCTATTAAAAATTCATACGCGTGGCACAAGAAATTTGCCAAGTTCCTTTCAAATTTGTTTCTCTTATTTATTATTTCACATATGCTGGTGGCCCACACAGCTACGATCGACGAGTCGATCGATGTGCAGAGAGGGGTGGGGGGGCCCCTCGAGCGAGGCATCAAATTGCGTGGTTCAGCTGGCTTCAGTACTACAAATTAATCACTTGTCAGTCGATCGTTAAGGTTTTTAGACATGACGTCAGCGGCGGGCAGCCCTTTTGGTCAGTTCCCACACAGAACCTACGAGCTTACAGAAGAACACCTCAGCTGAGGCTCATCCATCTGTATAGCTTTATGTCTGTATATACATTACTTGATGTGCCAATTAAGCGCAGCTTGCTCAATTATCCAGCCATAGAAATGAGATCATTGAACTCTCAGCCTCCCGCTCTAACTGTGCCGCACTCGCTTTGCATAGATTTAAAACAAAAACAAAGAGATGAAAGAAGAAAAAAATATATATAAAAAAAAGAGACAAAGGCAAGCAAGAAAAAAAAAAAAACATAAAATTCGCACAGATTTTCGAAAAATCTATTTCTGTAATCAGCAACAGGCCAAAAAGTTTGTCAGCGACTCTTCAAAATAAATGCACACGATTCTTAGCTATTACTTAATTTACTTTAAGCTAATATAACAAAATTATTGATAAATGTGATAATATATATATTTGTTAGCTTATTCATAATTCGAAATTTGTTCAAGCAGAGGTCAGCCACCCATGAGATCGCCTGCTGATAGGCGACCCGATTGCTAATGAATCTGCATTTGAAATGCTTGCAGCCACTGTTACAGCTACTGATGATGATGATGCTGATGCTGCGGCTACTGATGATGATAATGATGCTGCTGCTGCTGCTACAGGTAGGTCAATCCCCAGCAGCATGTTCGTAACAATTGACTATGATTTAAGAGCTCGATGGCAAATATTTGGTTTGATATGTCAACAGGCATATTATACTGAATACATTGATCAGCGAGGGCCCGCCTTAGTTTGCCAGCAAACTATAAACATATAGACAAATAAATAAATACATACATAGATACGTCTTAAGCCCTGTCTATAGGCTTTGTGAATCATACATTGGAGCTGTACATCTCCATCATCTCCAAGCTTTATTTAAATCATTGTAGTCTTGTTGTTTTTTGTTTTCCTTACACAGTCGATTGGGCAAAACTATGTTTATTTTTGTTTTCGTGCACACAGTATATACATTGACTTTTTTTGGTTTATTGAATTTGCATGAGAATCGTATCTAAATGAACGCTTTAATTTATGCCGGCAATTGGTTTCGTGCTCATCTTCCTTTCTATTATGTCCAAAAACTTGCATGACCTGTGTGTATCTATTTCCATTGTGCTGCAAATCTCGCACAGCTCTGAACTAGTTTCCTATACACGCATTTAACGTTTTCCGCTATTGAAGCTGGCGTGAGGAAGACAGTGAAGCCAAATGACCAAGCTACCTAATATGTGACAAATAGCATAATTTAGGTGGTTCGGTAAATGGTTCACTTTTAAGTCTTGTTGTTTCTTTTTCTTGGATATTTCTTTTAATATTATCTCATACTAGCAACTTTTAAATATATATAACATTTCTCAACACGACTTATAATTTTATAGAATCAGTTTGTTTCTTGGCTTGAGATTATTATCAAATTATTACTGATACCAACACGAGCTGGTTCATATAAGGCCTAGATTATTTACTGATTTCAAGCACTATAATTATAATTTAAAAAAATTTTTTAGACGTTTATTTTATAAATACTAACAAACAAAAAATAATAATCTATAAAATATTTATGCAAATTCTTTTTTTGTTTTTTATATATTTTGATTTATTAAAGCCATACGGGGTAGATTTATGCAAATTAAAATACAATTTATAAGTGAAGACATCAAACTAAAAAAATATTATTAAAAAAAAATATATATTAAAAATAAAATTAAAAATAATATATATAAACGCTTTATTTTGCATGAGAATCAATATATTTTACCTGTTTTTTTTTTTTTTTTTTTTTTTTTTTGTGTATTCAACTATTGCCTTTTTTCACCATCTCTGTGCAACAATGTTTTGTAGTGCAGTGTAAAGCTCTCAAAAAAAGCTTCACCACCCAAGCTTGAACTAGATTAAGCCAGCAATAGCTTTTAAGCTTGGCTTTGGCTTAAGCGGAAATGGAGCCATCTTTTACAACGACCGCCCGAAAGTAGGCAACACTTTTAAAAAATTCGATTTCTGCTCTTTTAGCAATTGCCGTGATATATTTAGAAATACGTATTATACATTATGGAGAGTTGGATAAGTTCATTTAATTTGTCTGGGATTCTTGTAGTGGTATCCATGCTCGGACGCCGTGGAGCTGGCCCTGTGACGCGATCCTTTGTGCTGAGGCGCTGCATAGCTCAGCTCTGGCGAGCTGGCGGCAATGCCAATATTTGATGGATCGTCATCGTCGTAGTAGTCGCCATCGGTGAGCAGCACTGAGCGTTGATTGCCATTTAAGCGGACCAGCATGCGACTCTGCCCCGGATAGCTGTAGAAGCTGCCATCGATGATGTTCGTATCCTGATGATTGCCGACAACACCCGTTGGTCCCAGCGGATTTGGGTGACCGAAGACATTACCGCGCAGCACATTGAGGCCCTGGTAGTTGCTGCGATTGCGCCAGCGACGTCCATTGCGCCGCCCATTCAGCCGTAGAGTCACTGCGCCCAGATTCGGATTGCCATTTCCGTTTCCATTGCCATTTCCGTTGGCTGTCAACTGAGCACCAAGCACGGGAGTAAAGAACTGGGCTCCAGTAGGCAATTGAGCGCCCAATACGGGATTGCCATTCCCAGTTGGGGATTGAGCTCCTGTGGGCAATTGTGCTCCCTGAACAGGATTACCATTACCCAGTGTTGGCGCTTGTCCCCCCGCTGGAAGCTGTCCTCCCTGGACAGGATTACCAAAATTGGGTGCTGGACCTCCAGCTGGTAGTTGAGCTCCGAAGACGGGATTGGCATTACCCAGTGTTGGTGCTTGTCCCCCCGCTGGAAGCTGTCCTCCCTGGACAGGATTACCATTGCCAAAATTTGGCCCTTGTCCTCCAGCTGGAAGCTGTCCTCCTTGGACAGGATCGCCAAGACTTGGCGCTTGTCCTCCGGCTGGCAATTGTCCTCCCTGGACAGGATTAACATTGCCAAAATTGGGCTCTTGACCTCCTGCTTGGAGTTGAGTTCCGAGGACGGGATTGCCATTGCCAAAATTTGGCCCTTGTCCTCCAGCTGGTAATTGTCCTCCCTGGACAGGATTACCATTGCCAAAATTAGGCGCTTGACCTCCTGCTTGGAGTTGAGCTCCGAAGACGGGATTGCCGTTGGCCTGAGTTGGCGCTTGTCCTCCAGTTGGCAGTTGCCCACCCTGCACAGGATTACCCAGAGTTGGAGCTTGCCCTCCAGCGGGTAGCTGTCCTCCTTGAATCGGATTGCCATTGCCAAAAGCTGCTGCCTGTCCTCCAGCTGGAAGCTGTGCACCCAGCACAGGAATGAAACCATTCTGCGGCTGACCAACAGCTAACTGTGCGCCCAGTAGCGGAACAAATTGATTGGTGTTTCCATTACCAGGATCGATTTGTATGACAACCGAACCGGGTCGCTGCACCACCCCACCAGCCTGGCCATTTATGAACGCACCTCCACCTACAGCTGGAACGAATAGATTCTGATTGACAAACCCGTTTCGGGAGGGATCAATAAAGAGGTTATTGCCGTTGCCTAAATTGGGAACGAAACCAATTGGTAATTGGCCATTTAACTGAAATCCATTTGCTGGCAACTGACCACCAGCTGGCAACTGTGCGCCACCTGGTGGTGCAGCATTAGCTGGCAGTTGTGCGCCACCCGGTGGCGCAGCATTAGTTGGCAGCTGTGCGCCACCTGGTGGTGCAGCATTGGTTGGCAGTTGTGCCCCTCCAGGTGGGAGTCCAGTATTGGCAGGTAGCTGTGCCCCTCCAGGTGGGAGTCCAGTATTGGCAGGTAGCTGTCCGCCATTTGGTAAGGCATTAGCTCCTAATTGAGCACCGGTCGGGCCACCGTCGCGGCAGCCAATGGGAGGATTTCCAGCAACTGGGAACTGGCAATTGGGCAAAGAAGTTACAGGCGCCTGAGCACCCGTTGGAGCTTGAGCACCAGTCGGAGCTTGAGCACCCGTTGGAGCTTGAGCACCCGTTGGAGCTTGAGCACCTGTTGGAGATTGGGCACCCGTTGGAGCCTGGGCACCCGTGGGTAATACGATTCCCGACACAAGAGGATCAGTACTTATCTGGGAGCTCAATTCAGAGTCCTGCGATTGCACATTGATCTGCGTATGGAAGACAGAGTTGGGTGCGCTTGCATAGAGCACGCGATTGGGTCGACGACGACGTGTGACGATCTGTGAGGGAGCAGCGGTCAGAAGGCCAGCGGTGCGCAGTTGAGGCACCGCTTGCTGGTAGTGTATGTGGTTGGTCTTCAGGTCCGGCTGCTTGTCGTAGTGATGGTAGTGATCCACGCGCTTGGGCTCGTGATGCTCTTCACCTTTGTGGTAGACAACATGTTCACTCGTGTGCTTGTCCTTGCGGAAGAACGGCTTCAGGATGTGCTCCTCCTCCGGCGGCAGATACTGATGATCCTCATCGTCCTCGTACTGCCGATGATGCTTCGATGGTGTCACCTCGCACAGCCAGCCCAGAGCTAGCAGACCTACCAACAGAAGTCTCAGCGGATCCTATTAGAGAAATGAAACGGATAGAGCTGCATTTGGCAAAGACCTCGAGTTGATATTCCGTGCTTTGATCTTACCATTGCGTCTGTGCTCTACTTGGAAATTATAATCCAATTATATACGAAAATTCTTGCCACTCTTCTTAGAGTGCAGTGCACTTCCAGTGGGATCTGCGGCGCGAAACCAGTTGTCGATCGTGAGAAATTCGACGGGCACCTCATCCGACCCATTTGTTGTATTGAATGCTGCCAATTTATACACAAATGAGGTTGCGAAGACAAAGCTACCGCCGCCACAAAGCTTCACAAATCAAAGACGATTCGATTTATGGACCAAATCAAGATGCACACACCGACGCCGAAGCAGAGGTTGTTAGCCATTAACTCGCTTGCAAGCTGCCGAAAAAAAAAAAAAAAAAAAAAAAAAAAAAAAAAAAAGAAGCAACACACTGCCGAAAATGTTAGTAGACTTGAATATTATATGTATTCGGTATTAGGTAAGCGAGTTATCATCATTAAAAAGAGAACTGCTTTGATGAATAATATTATCATCATCAAATCAAATTTAGAAAGCTTTATAGTCAATTTGAATTTCATCTGCTGAATATTTTATTATACTTGAATGGTAAGTTACAATAATATTCGCACTCGGCTACTGAGCAGTCATTAAACACTCTCCAAGATATATTAATGCACTTTGGATGATGAAATCGGGCTGGCTAACACATAATACAAAGAATATACTTTTGCTTGGCATAAGATAGGAATTGCAATTAGAGAAATGGTACCATCCATATATAATAATATTATATGTCAATCACAATCATATAGAAATAATCGATTGCATATTATAAAATATTTCATAAGCTTACTTCCAGTTTATAAACAGATTATATTCATTATAAGCAAACAATAGCTTTTCAAAATCAACAAAAACAGATAGCTAAATTAATATTTTTATTATTATAATTTTATTGCTGATAAATGTGATTGCAAATAAATTTATTCAAATTCTTTGAAAAAACTCTTTATGCACGATGCCTGTAGATGCGACGACGCACAGTTCGGTATTCGTAGCCGGCATGGGCGGCAGCCGGAGCCGATGCAGCTGCTTCGAAAATGGAGTCCGAGGAATCGGCAGACTGGAAACTAAGAGCTGGAGCTGCGATCGGAACAGCAATGGACTGCACTGGAGCAGAGGCAGCTGCATAATGACGAGCCTGGGCAGCAGGAGCAGCTACAGCAGCGGGAACTGGTACAGGTGCTGGACGTGAGGCGACTGGAGCTGGTGGCACATATGAGCGAGCAGGAGCAGGAGCTGATTCAGCAGCGGCGAAAGTTTGAACGGGAGCAGAAGCAGCTGCTTGATGAACTCGAGCAACAGGAGCTGGGGCAGCAGCACGAGCTGGTGGCACATAAGAGCGAGCAGGAGCAGGAGCTGATTCAGCCGCGGCGAAAGTTTGGGCAGTAGCAGAAGCAGCTGCTTGATGAACTTGAGCAACGGGAGCTGGGGCAGCAATACGAGCTGGTGGCACATAAGAGCGAGCAGGAGCAGGAGCTGATTCAGCCGCGGCGAAAGTTTGGGCAGGAGCAGAAGCAGCTGCTTGATGAACTCGAGCAACGGGAGCTGGGGCAGCAACACGAGCTGGGACAGGAGCAGGTGGAACATATTTGCGAACAGGAGCAGGAGCAGGAACTGAAACTGGAGCCTTCACAGGAGCGGCAACTGAAGCAGCCACAGCTGAGCTGGGAGCCGCATAGTTGTAGCCCCCATCGGCAGCTGCGCAGCCCACCAAGACGAGAACCAGGATATAGAGCTGCTGCAAATAGAGTCCCAGCTATGAGCGAGAGTAAATTCTATATATGAGGATCGGATTTACCATTTGAAGTGCTTAAGTTCCGTGTGTTATTGAGTTGAAGTAACGAATAATCATTATTCAGTAGCCGAGCAAGGCTTTTATATAGAAGCGAACCCAAACGACGGAAATAATGCACATCATCAATCAAAACGGATTGACGGATCCCATCTACTGGACTTGGTGTGCAAAAAGTGGCTACACTATTCACTAACTAATATCTCCCATTCATTGCTGTCTATCGCAATGGAATTTGCTATCCAAGCAAATTTATGTCTGAGCCAAAAACCAGATTCGGCTTCAATTAACAACGGACTATCTTCGGCGTGATAAACATAGATCGAGCTAGATCATACAGCAAGTGACGAAGTCTACTTAAACACTGCAATAAATCGTAGCTTATGCTAATTTCTGATAGAGCAATAACTAAATGGGTTTAATGTTTGGCATGTCTGTGATGCTATTATATGTATAATCTAAGATCAAATTAATGCTCGCTCTCTAGCTCTCTTGGGCATTGTCTTCCTTACAAGATGGTTATTAGTTTAGTCCATGCTACATATGTGGACAATAGAAATATTTGTTTCGCTTTTGTTTTTCGTTTTCATTATTATCTTGCTTTATTATCTGACAATTTCGGCTAAATGCAAATCAACTGGAAATATATTCTGCATTCACAGAAGAATTCTAGTGAGAATTAGCATTTGAGAATGGCTAGCGGCTCGGGTCGAAACCAGTTAGCCAACCGACGTCGGATGGATATACATATATGTGTATAGAAACATATATGCAAATATATTTTGTGTGTATCTGGGAGTTAGCCAAGTATGTCCTGAGGTGGCAGATATGTGCGAGACGGCTGTTGTTGAATCTGCGGCAACACAAGGGATGACACGATTTGACGCTGACGCTGGGGCAATACGCGTATCGGCTCTGGGGCAATCAGCTGCGGACGGCTCACAACCACCTGTTGCTGCGGCAGCGACACAGTGGATGTCACGATTTTACGCTGGACCTGGGGCAATACGCGTATGGGTTGCTGGGCAATAATCTGCGGACGGATCTGCTGGATCTGAACTTGGGGCACTATGCGTCGGCGCGAAATCAGCTGAGGCTCAATCAGGTTCGAAATGATCTGTGGCTGCTGCGAAATAATCCTTGGCTGCTGCACAATCAGCTGCGGCTGCCGCGAAATAAGTCTTGGCTGCTGCACAATCAGTTGTGGCTGCTGCGAAATAATCTGTGGCTGCTGCACAATCAGCCTTTGCTGCTGCGAAATAAGCCTTGGCTGCTGCGAAATAAGCTGCGGCTGCTGCACAATCACCTGCGGCTGCTGCACAATCCTGCGCTGGGTTATGAGACCACCCCCAAGCTGCGAAGCTAGGTCTACCTGGGGTGGCAAGTAGGTACGAAGAGGCGAGGTGGCTGCCGCTGCACCAAGCAGCATCAAGCCCATCAACACAAATACAGAACGCTGCAAGGAAGACGAAACGATTTGGATTGAGTAAGGAGTAACGAGTTGATCCCTGCAAGTGAGGAACTCACCATGTTGCTTAGTCAAAGCTTCAGAGTTAAATTGTTAGCATACTCGGGTGGGTTTAGATATTTATAAGAAAGGCGCTGGTGAATGTAGTCTGGGCCAAACCCAAATTGGATTACTTAATATGTATATGGATGTTATGGACAGCAGACACAATAAACCATATCACGCGCCATAAAATTAGTTTTTATCGCAATGCAAAATTAATGTGAAACAATAATGTATAGAGTAATAAGAACCACCAAAACGAGTCCCGCCGTTAAAAAAGTAACTGTAAATTTATATACAGTATAGATATATTGTGTTGCTTATATTGTTTTGCTTTTAAACCATTTCTACATCTCAATTTCAAATTCATTATTTAGATTATGTGCAAACCTGTTGCTGCACTTAACAGAGGCACTTCACCGACCGGCTTAGCGGAGACACAAACCAGAACACTTAGCTAATGTTAAGCGCATGTTAATTTCAAGTCACAAATGTATTCGTGACGCATGCGGCGTATACGTAATGTGCTGCATAACTAATGAGCATACATTGACAGAATGGTCGATTGTCCAATCTGTTACTTTCTTATTTATATCTCTTAGCGTGGTATGGTTTGTTTAGTTCAAATTTGTTGATCGTTTTTATGTTTTGTACACAACATTCTTGGACAGGCTCTACCACAATCTATATTTGAACAAATAGAATTAGAATCTATTCCAATCACACCGTCGAATACTAATTTATGCACATTAAATACCTGAAAAGTCACAGAAACTAATAGAACCGGTTGCATTAAATCGATGTATTTGGTTTTTTTTTTTGTCATGAGGAGCAGAACTCTGGCTTGGTTTCGTTTCGTACAAATATTGCTTTTCTCTTTGCTAATCGGGCTCTATTTCAAGCTCTGACACAAGTCGCATTTTAATTGGGATTAAGGCTGTTTATATAACTTAAGTATTTAAAATATATATTTATATATATGTATATATGATTATTAAATTTTTATTTGTCTCTCTGCTGCTATTCATTTCTGCAATTGGCATACATCTAAATAATTATACACTTATTTAACTGATCTTAACTTTTTACTAACTTATTGTTGAATACAAACTCGTTTCGTTTGCCTTGGCATTCAACATTTACATTGTGCGATGAAGTAATCCAAGCTGACTTAAATATAGACTACATTCCCGAATAAGCTGCCGGAAACTCGAATGGAACTGATACAGTTAGTCGTCGTCAGGCGCGATTGTAGTAGAACAACTCGTGGATTCGCCAATTAGCCAACAAGAGATGACCGAGGAGATATGCAAAGCCCAAAAGGCAGCGGTCGAAGTGAATGAGCCATCGCCTATGAGTAAAGCCCCACAGGGTCAAATCTCCGGAGTGATTAACCGTAAAGCCACAGACAAATTGCCAACGAAAATAAAAAGATAAATATTAATGAAATGCAAAATGAATAAACAAATATGATTAATTTATAGAATGAAGATATTTTCGGCATAAGAAATTAAAAAGTCTCTAAATTCGACGAAAAATTTGGCCCGTCAGGGGGGAAATCCCAAATGGAAACGTGTTCTATTTAAAGCCCAAATATGAGTATTTAGTTATTACGTGAGTTAATACGGATGAAGAATTTAACCGTAGCATACCCGATTTTGTTTATTAATTAACACTTGAGCCGAGGTCTTAATAGTAAACACGAGATACTTATGTTAAGCAAATTTGTTGGTATTAATTGAATATGTTAAAAATTTAAATTTATATTTAAATTTATATTTTTCAGAAAGACGAAATTTGTATTTGGAAATCGTAAATTTTGTGTCTAATCAGCTACGAGAGGCTGGAAATCCCACAAAAAAACGTGTTAGGAAAAAAAAAATATATATATATATATATACATATATAAATAAACATGTAAATATGTAAATATGTAAATATGTTTATTAATAAAAAAAAAAATAATAATAATAATAAAAACAAGTAAGAACGTTGCAGTCGGGCGTTACCGACTGCGGAATACTCATTCACATCCCATCAACAATTTAGTAGCTAAGTTTCGCTCTAATACTGTAGAATATACAGGTTTTTCCGATTTGCCACGCCCCAACTGGGCGTAGACACCTCATTTTTGGTCAGTTTTTAGAAAGAGATAACGGTACCCTAACTGCAAAGTTTGAATGCTTAACCTCAACAAATGTGAAAATTACAGGGTATTTTTCGATATGCCACGCCCCTAAAGAGGCGTAAAAATTATTTTTGGGGAATCGATAGAGGAGGCTACCAGTAACTCAACTATCCAAATTTAAAGCTTCTAGCTATTATACTTTAGGAGATATAAACTTTTGTGGTTTGCCACGCCCCCTGTGGGCGGACATATATCCGACAAAACTTTTTGGTCTTGGGTGATCAGTCCGAGTATATATACAAAATTTGAGGTCTCTGCCATCAATAGTGTCCAAAATATAGGAGAGTTTAAAAAATCACTATATCTTCAGGTCCGATTTGCCACGCCCCCAATGGGCATAGACTTATAATTTTATCTTTAGACTTTATAGAGTCATACCATTAGCTGACGTGCAAAATTTCAGCATTCTAGGTTTACAACTTTAGGAGATACAGTTTTATCCGATTTGCCACGCCCCCAATGGGCGTAGATATATCCGCCATAGTTCGTGATCTTGGGTGGTCAACGCGGACCTACATACCAAATTTCAGCTTTCTAGCTCTTTAACAAACATGATTTCTGGTATATCGGAAAATGCATTTTCCGATTTGCCACGCCCCTAGTGGGCGGATCGGGAAAATTTTAACACTTTATAAATCGGAGATATACACGAGTATGTGTTCCAAATTTCAAGTCTCTAGCTTCAATAGCGCCGAAATAGATTGCGTTCATACGGACAGACGGACAGACGGACGGACGGACAGACGGACAGACGGACAGACGGACGGACAGCAAGACGGACATTGCACAAAACCAATATACTGATTCACTTTCGTGAATGAGTATAATGATTCACTTTCGTGAATGAGTATAAAAATATATGCAACTTTAAATATATAAAAAAAAAAAAAAATATTTTAAAATTAAGGAGGGGGAAATTCCATAAAGAAACTTGTTCTTAGTGAGTCCCTTAAAAGGGCAATATTTTGCATGAAATTAAATTAAATCAATAGGGTAACAGACTCTCAGACACCCCATATAATATATTTATATATGCAAAGTTCACTAGAGAAAGATAGTTGAAAATAGAAAACATAAAATATTACAATAAAAAACTTTATAAACATAATAAATAAAATATGTTAAACACTTATTTGGTATTCAAAATTACCACTCAGCCATAAAATGCGGGGTACATGCTGAATTCGCAAACTAGTTTTGCTGTGAACTCTTTGCTTTACAGCGAATCCAGGGAGATGAGCAACGAATGCGATGTAAAGAGAACTTTTTCAGGCGTCAAAATGAAAAATGAAAAATGAAAAATGAATTCACATAAAACGCATGTGAAATATGAATTAATGATATGAGATGCTGTTTTAGCTCAATGTGCGGTTAGCATTGAGTGCGGCTTGATTAGAAAGACGTCATCCAACTTTGAGCCCCGGCAGCTGGCTAATGCGAATATTCGGGGCTTGGCAAGGCCAATTTCCAGCCAAGTTAATTGCGTGCTAATCGGATGCAAACTTTTATTGATACCTCACAAATTAACAGTTGGCTAAAATAAAAGAACAACATTCAGTAATATAATCGGTTTGAGAATTGCGATCCACTGTAGTTAATGGGCATGGGTCAACATTTCTGCGATTGGGAATGCAGCTGCTTGGCTGGGCCCTTCGCTGCGAACTGGTTTTTGCACGCATCTCCTCTTATATATATGGCCCATTGTCCGAGCGTGAAGGTTAACCAAGCCCGGCTTGCCCTGGGCACCGGCTTGTCTGAGTAATCGAGGGCTCCGCTGAGCGACAAACAGGAGTGCGATTAGTTAGCGGAACTGCTCTTCATGCAAATTGTATTGGGTTGCGTTGCGATCAGATCGCGCATAAATAAAACATCATACTAAATGTCGCGCCTGGGCGCATTTATATCGATTTCGTATTTCATTAATAACCATAAAATGGCAAATAATTTTGATTTTATATACACCAGCCACGCCCGCTTTACAAACAATAAAGAGCACCTCTGTTCGATAGGCATACAAGAATAATTTGTTGAATAAAATCATAGATATTTTATTGCTTAGCATATTGTCTACGCTTTAAATTAGAATACTCCACTCGTCTATGGGTATGTTCAGATTTCTAGTCGGTAGCTGTGCAGCCAGGGTATTAAGCAGCCAGTATTCGGCTGTCAGAGTATTCAGCTGTCGATAGACGCAGCCCTCTTTGGAATTGAGAATATTTGAATTCCTGTTGATAACTCGGCATTTTATTGTGCTTAAATCTATATCGCTGTGGCAACTGACGAAAAAAGAGCGAGCAGAATAATTTTATGAGTGTGTCGTTCTGTCATAGCCGGTTAACCAGCCTAAGATCAGGTTCGGGTAACTTTTTTGGCATCGGCACTGTCGTTGTTGCTATTATTGAGAAGATTCTTCTGCTTCTTCTCTTGCCGAAGATCAGCTTTGGCATGTCGAAGCTATCCTGAAACGATGCGGCCCGACGTATAAATAATGTCTCGCTTTTCATCGCCAAGCAGTAATACTTCAACCTTCGTCGGGTGAATTTGGAGCTGAGCAAAATGGTAAGTCAAAAAACGAGGAGAACAAAAATGTGAATCACAGAGCTCTAGAGACACAGCTTACATAACATCGGATTAATCTGCGATGCAAATATCGATAGACGTGCCTATATCGGTCATCTAAGTTCTCTCAATCGCTTGCCTACTTGCAGAAATTCCTAATCGCCCTCGCCTTGGTGGCAGCCGTCAGCGCTGACGTTTCCCACCTGTTCTCCAGCAGTGATAATCGGCAAGCGGATGGTTACCACTATCAGCAACCAAGTCAGCCATTCGTCATCGATGTGCCCCAGGTCATCAAACAAAAGGAGGTGATCTACGAACAGCAACCTCAGGTAGTCTACCAAAAGCAAAACCAGGTGATCTACGAGCAGCCCGCTCCAGTGGTCGTCCAACAGCAAAATAAGGTGGTTTACGAGCAGCCCGCTCCAGTGTTCGTCCAAAACCAAAATAAGGTGGTTTACGAACAGCAACCTCAAGTGGTGTACCAAAAGCAAAAGCAGGTGGTCTATGAACAGCAGCCTCAGGTGGTGTACCAAAAGCAAAAGCAGGTGATCTACGAACAGAAACCTCAGGTGGTGTACCAACAGCAACCTCAAGTCACCTACGAGAAGAAAACTCAAGTAACCTACGAGCAGCCCGCTCCAGTTGTCGTCGAAAAGCAAAAGCAGGTGATCATTGAAAAGCAGCCTCAGGTGGTGTACCAAAAGCAAAAGCAGGTGATCTACGAACAGAAACCTCAGGTGGTGTACCAACAGCAACCTCAAGTCACCTACGAGAAGAAAACTCAAGTAATCTACGAACAGCCCGCTCCAGTTGTTGTCCAAAAGCTCATTTCAAATACTCCTGCCGGCATCCTGAAGAAGGATGGATACCAATATGAAACACCTAAAATCGTTTTCGAGCCAGCGCCCAAGCCAATTCAAAAGGTTGTGATCCCATCTAACCCCGTTAACCAGTATCTGCCCCCTAAGAAGATTGTGGAGCCAATCTACAAGCCAACCCCTAAGATCATCATCGATCCTGTGCCCACTGTTAAGCCTGTGGTGCCAATCTACAGGCCAACCCCAAAGGTTGTGATCCCACCTAAGCCCGTTAACGACTATCTGCCCCCTAAGAAGATTGTGGAGCCAATCTACAAGCCAACCCCTAAGGTCATCATCGATCGTGTGCCCACTGTTAAGCCTGTGGTGCCAATCTACAAGCCAACCCCTAAGGTCGTCATCGATCCTGTGCCTGTGGTGCCAATCTACAGGCCAACTCCAAAGGTTGTGATCCCGGCTAAGCCCGGTAACGACTATCTGCCGCCAATCGGCTATACTTACCCCAACAATCCTCAGCCATCTTTCGATTATTAAGGAAAGCCTATTATAATTAGTGTCCTCCTCTAGTATTAGATCCTGCATACGAATTCCTGATGAGAAAATAAATTGAAATCGAAACACGAATAAAAATGATAATGAAAAATTGAAATGAAAAATTCGGATATTTCTATAGCACAGCAAAATGAAACATTAAAATCTGATTAGGTGGAAAATGTGTTTCCCAAACTGGTTACTGTTCTTGTGAAGCTTCATTCGGGAATTATAAAATGTTAGAGTGGAATCGACAAAATTGTGCACTTTCCTATCCAATAAAATCTCCAAAACTGTTCTTAAAATTAAAGATTTTATTGTTCCTCTCTAAAAAAAAAAATAAAAAAAAAAATAAAAATTAATATTGTATTATTCATAATTTTAATTTTAAAAACATAAAGTGCTAAAATATAATTAATAACGAAAAAATTTATATATTTTAATTTTGTACAATTTTCTTGATTTAAGTTGTATTTATTTTTTTATTTTAATTTATATTTACATGATCTCTATCATTAAAATTTTATATTTTTTCTACAGCCCATTTTAATACAACACAATTTCTTCAGTAATATTTTGACTAAAAGTATGCTTGATTCCAGCAACCGAAATCTTATTAGCCAAGCCAAAAAGTAAACTTAATAATAATTTTTCAAAAAATATATAAATATGTATATGAATATTTACCAGAACTAAAAATGGCGACAATGACCAAGGCGGCTCAGAGAAGAGAGAGCAGCGCAAAAGGTCTTCGAGAGCAGCTTAAGACCAGCTTGAGCTACGTTTGGGTGGGTTATTAAATCTGGTTTTCATTTGCTGCAGACAGTAGGAGTTGGGCGGAGGCTCGCACCGATTGCTGTACGCTCATCGTGATCCATTGAGGGCTGAGTCAAAGTGTCAAAGTTGACAGAGACAAATGGCTCGAAGCGCTAATTGAAAAGGAAACGTGGTGAAGGTGCTGACAGCAGCTGTTTTATATGTGCTGAATATGTGGAATCGTATTTGAATTTGGATTGGCTGCACAACTGCCACACGTGATGGATGCTGGCGCACAGCTGGCAGCGCATAGAATCATTAATTCGATAGAGAAGACAAGAGACAAAGCCACAGCGCGCACTGACACTTGACCCCACACAAAAGCCGAACACGTCTTGACCTTGACAATGATTCGATTCGATTCGTTTCGATTGGAGTGAGCGCTGGTAGCTATGGCCCCAAACATTGCCAGCCAGAGATGTAGCTCTGTTGTTTATCTAGGGCCGCTCTAACTATCGAATTGCTGTTGTTTGACAAGCAACAGCAGCAACAGCAGCAGCAGCAGCAGTAGAAGCAGAAGCAACAGTAGAAGCGGCAGCAGCCACAGCCACATTAACAACGTCAACAACATTAACAACATAAACAACATCAACAGCATCAGCAGCAGCAGCATCAGCTTCATCAGCAACAGCGCAATTAATAAACTGAGCTAAAAAACAAACACGATCGACATATAGAAGTATAAATAGTTGGGGTATCGGCGCCAATGCCTGCATTCGCTTGAACCCCGTCGCTGGCAGCTATAAAGCATTCAAGTACATTCTTTTCACGTCCTATACGCATATTCCCCTGTCAAGATGGTAAGCCATTATCGCACGTATTCCATTACTATTATTATTATTATTAATATTGGTATTCATAATTGTTTTGGGTCTCAGCGATTGTTTATTTGGGCTCTGCTGGCGGCGCTTTGTCTGCATTATACACGGGCGGATGTCTCACAGCTCGTTAAGTCGGGCAACGGCTTCGTTTACGATGTGCCCAAGGTCAGTGAGCTAGAACTGGAGCTGAACAATGAGTTCCCCACTGGCCAGGAATTCCCACAGGACGCCATACCCGTCGCCCCCTCCGATGCGGAACTGGGACAGGCCGAAGCCGTCGAGAAACTGCCCCAGCCATCCGCTGCCAGTGATGACAGCGCTGCCTATGCCTCGTCCAAGGGTCACGGCTACGCGTATCGCGTGCCCAGCAGACGCTTCAAGAGCTAAGCGCATGGCTATTTATAGATAGTTTCTACTTGTTTCTACCAAAGTCTTAAAACACTAAAACCGTAATAAAATGTGTTGAAAACAAACAAAATAAATATGAGCCTTAAAAACTTCCTATATGAAATCCAAAGTCCATTTCCGATACTTAATTGAGGAGATAAGTCTATATATATAATTATTCAGTATCATAACTATATATTTATATATTTGATTTATTTAATTACTATAGCTAAAGATTAGTATAGCTAATTAATAAATTGAGCCCATCGAGTAGAGTTTCTTTTGCTGCAGACAAAATTATTCTTTTCATCTTTTGAACAAGAACAGACAAGAGTCGTCTTGGTTTGGGAATTGGTTTTGAAAAGAGTCCATAACCTTTAGTGACAATATGATAATATGCCCATTGAGGCTTAAGCATCGTTCAGGGCGATTCTTTGTTAACCTTTCACCGTCCAAGGGCTTCTCGGATTGCCTTGGACAGCGCTTAGAATGAAAACGATATTGAACAGAAAAGAAAAAAAGAAACACACACACACACACAAAGATGTGACTCTTGCGCTCAATCCTAATAAACACATAGCTCTATCTGGTTTTTATTTCTTTTTGACTAAACAAAAAAAAAAAACATACAATCGAAAGACAAATATTTTTGTTAAACCGGTTGCAGTCTGAGCAGTCAGCGACAATTTCGCACATGCTTGAATTTTTGACATGCTCGCGCCTATCAATTTCTGTGGGCAAGTGCACAATTTTAATTCAATCGTTTACACAAATTGCGCAAAATGGTGGCCAAATGCGAGCAGCGCGAATCGAGCGCACGCCACAGCAATCGATTTTCAAGCAATTTTTGGTAATCGATCAAAGCCAAAGCCGCTGGCGGTTCAACAACCCGCATTAATTAGCTAAGCCAAAAACGAAGATGTCTTGAAATCGAAGCTATAAACAAAGCAAGTGGGCATGCTGGCGAGGAGGGGTGATGGACTATGAGATGCCACGTAAAATTTGAATATGAAAATATGAAAAACGAAAAAAAAAACTGCTAGATGATCGTCACTGATCAACGAGGTACATTTGAGCTTTCACATGACTTTTAGATCATTATGTCCTTTGTGAGTGTGATGCAGAGTATTAGCGATCTACTAGCACATCATGGCCAGTCTATACAAGTACAGGGTATTCAACAGTGATAGTTGAAACAGCATCAGGAAATAGGAGCGACTTATCTACATGATCTACACTGACTTATTATCTGTTCTATGACTCCACTCGAGAATGCCCACTCTCTCGGCATATGTAGGGTATTTAAAAAGTGATAGTTGAAACAACAGCCGCATCAAAGTAGTTTTATGATCTTCATCTGATCTGCGATCTGCATGTAAACTGTTTCGTGTCTGCTCGACAAATTAGTGGAGAATTTTTAGTGCTGGCAAATGTGTCGCACGTTACGGCGTATCAGCTGGGGCTTACGCTAACGTCAAACGTAGGCGTCCAGCTGGGCATTTGGAATAGGTAGCACAGTTTTGATGTGTGGCTTAAGTACTTCTTTAATCCGAAGACTTCCGCAAGCTTTTCAGAGACAACTTCATTGTGCGCGCGAGAATTTGGCGGCCACTCGAGCTGCTTGAGCTGCTCGAGACTCGGTAATTATTATAAATGAAGTCTAAATGATTTATGACAGGCAGCGCAGTGCGCTTACAACTGAAATGCTCTTTTGGTCAGCTCGGAAGCGAGGCATTGTGCTCAGCTAGACAAGAATACAGTTGAGTGGCTTTAGGCCCGATTCATGACGACGTTGATGAAAATGCTCGACGAGCATTTATGTTATGTTATGTTATGTTGACGTCGCACACAAGCAGCGAGCGAGCCACAATGTGCATAATGATCACAGCAAGCAATATAGATAGATAGATACAAATATACATGCACAGACACATGGACAGATACAGATACTGATTTGGAGAATACATAATAATCGAGCAACGGCATATCGATTTAAATAATAATAATTGGCCGGCCTTTTTAGCCATGGACAGCAATGCCAGCGAGTCTAGAATTGTGACTATAAATAAACAGGTGCCACAACGATTGGTCAATCATTGAACGTCTTCGAGTCCAAGGTGTAACATGGTGCGTACCTCTCTGCCCAAGCTCCATTGCATCGCCAGCTGAGCTCTGTTTCCTTCTCAATTGCAGAACGCATTCCTTAGCCTAGCACTGGTCGCCTGCACGCTGGCCCTAGCCGTTGCGGATGTCTCGCATCTGCCGCTGCAGCAGCTGGAGGGGGAGCATGGCTATGGCTATGATTATCCCAAGCCTGTGGTGCCGTTTGTAATAGCCAAAACCACCACGCCAGCGCCCACGCCAGCGCCCACACCAGCGCCCACTTATCTGCCACCACCGCCACCGACGCCAGTGCCCACCTATCTGCCACCACCGCCGGCGACAACAAGATCGACAACGACAACCACCACGACCCCAGCACCGACACCAGCACCCACTTACTTGCCACCACCAAAGCCCACCACAACCACCACCACCACCACAACCACAACGACGCCAGCACCCACGCCGGCACCCACCTATCTGCCGCCCATCATTGTGCCAGACCCCGAGCAGGGCTACCACTACGATGCACCCGCCGAGCCCTTCATATTCTAAGCTGCACCGCCTCGCACCACACCTGACACTGTCCGACTGTTGACCCGGAATGCTGTTTGTCCCGTTTACCTAGTCGTTGGTATTATATAAGTCTCGATATGTTAAATAAATCACATTTGTTAGCCAATTGATCGCTTCCCTTGATTTCTTGATATCTCTCGCTCAATTCCAATCACAGCCAATTGTCCAATGAAAATTTTCTGCTCTGCATATTCATGAGTGGAGCGAGTGGTGTGAGATTGAGGTTTCTTTTTTGTTCGGCTTTTTGTGTTGTGAACTCAATTAAGAGTCGAAAATTGGTTTTAATTGTTTTCACCCAAAATATATGTGTGGAGCTCTATCAAAACAGGCCACGATAAACAAACACACGGCAATAATTGGATCCAGCTTCAAGTTCAAGAAAACCAAGAAAAGTGTGAAGCGGACAAATTATGCGTTGGCCT